CACTTTTGGAACTGGCAACAGTTGACGATGTGAACACGGTGGCAAAGCATATAAATGCATGACCAAGCTCATACTAAATACAGCCAATGTTGTGACTAAAATCACAACATCTATCTTCACTTTATGTCAGCTGTTGATAACAGGTTTAACAATGCTATAGAAGCCATTGAAAATAGCCGTAACATTATAGAATACATTGTCTAAAATTACTAACAGCTTTAATTTAGTTGAAGGTAAACTATTGACCATGTCTCAATTAATTGCAGAGCAGGTGGCAACAACTGTGAACACCAAATTGGAAGAATTTAAGTTTAGGTGTTCAAGAATTGAGTGAAGAGAGAAACATCACCATTGCTTACATATCACCAACAGTTCTTAAGCAATCAATTCAACATATTCAAAGACTGAGTAAAACAACAATCTAAACAATTTAATTTGTTGGCTGCATGAGTCCACCAGCATTCTATTACAATCATGGTACATTTATCACAATAGCTAACGGAAACTAACAGAAGCTGTAGCATGTATCTGTAAAGTTCCTCTGTCAGCATTATCTGCACTTTGAACCTCTTCAAACTAATCTCTTTTCCAGTTCCTCACAGATGATACTTCATTGCATGCAACAAAGCTAATGGATTCTACTTCATTCATAGCATTCACACAAGATAGGACTCCTTTACTCATGTTCATCATGATCAAATGTCAAAGTGTAATGGGGTGAAAACACTACACCATTTAATCTGGCACTTGTTTCCTTCACAGCACTAACATGTGAAGCTGCACTGTCATGAATAGCAAAGTGATGTAAAAAGCTTTGTGTGACTTTCGTATGCTCTTTAATCACCATCATCAACAATTAATCCACATTGCTTCAGCTACTATTATTGTTAATCAGATTCCATTGCCACACTCAAATGTCACATATGGTCAAAGATGATCAAAGGATGGTTTCCTTCTGCATTTATGTCTATTCCGTACCTTTGTAGCCTTTCCGCAGAGTACACTTCTATCGACACAGCTTGGTTCCTGTCTAACGATACTAACACGGTCTCAAATTGCACCCAATCAATCTGGCACTTCTCCAGCACTTCTTTGAGGAGAGAAGTAGTTACGCAACTTCATTTCTGGAGATTGAGTTTTCCCATTATACCAATCAGTAACTATTCCGAAAATGCAAGTGTATTTATACATATTCAAGATTCTTAGCGCAGATAGAAAGATCATCTAAGTCTCAAGAATTTGTAAATAGTGTAAAATCAAGCAGATCTTTCAGTCAGTAGCTGAACCCCTTTTGGATTAGCCAAATTATACTTAAATTCATCTGGTTGCTTAATATGACATTGCCATTGTTATTTCTTATTATGTTAACATTGAGTCTCAATCATGCTTCTTTGGATATTCATCAGAATTTAGAGCACTCTCCAGCAATGTTTGCATGGCATGTAAAGCAATGGCTGCAGCTCTTCCTTCTTTTGAATATCATTTTAGTTCTACAGTCCAACTGTGATATCCAATCATCTGTAATTGGACTTTATGAAAGAAATATACCCATAGAATAGCTGCTATGCTAATAATTCTGTTAGTAATGGCATTAGCAAAACTGTATAATAGGGAAGTCTCAGCCTACCGGTTTAGCTCTAAGAGATAACCACAGGTTCTCTTTGTACCATTGTTCAATATTATCATTATCATTATGTCCATCTCACTGGAACATTGGGGCTAGCTTTAATAAAGCAATGTCGGAGTCAAAGATTATTGCTAAAGATTAGAAACTTTTACCTCTGTGGAAAGATTTCAAGGGTCTCAAATAATAGAAACACCTGGCGCTATTCGAATTCAAGAGGAATTATCATTATCCTTATCCTAGAGGCCCCTTGATTAAGAAAAATCCTCGAACAACCTTATAGGAGGTACACATTTTGTGTAATCACCACGGCTTTACCAGGTTATAGAATAACTCTGGACCTGTTTAGTAGTCACCTTAGCATCTAAAGTATATGTGTTTGAACCATACACCTTTTTATGGGAACCATTATGTGTCATTATGTATATGTCGGAGTCTATTTTTCATTTTTGTGTTGTTTGTCATCATCATGTAATTAAATTTCTTTTTGGGGACAAAAGTTTTTAGGTCCAAGGTGTTATCGTGCTAAAATTAAAGCAAATATATATAAAATATAATTGATTAATTTGTAGCTTTATTGTAAATATTTGGTTTTACGATCATTATAGATATAATATTAAATTCTTTTGGGTACGAAGCATATGCTCTCTCAATACATTTGTTTTATTATAAAGCGGTAATCCTTTAAAGGCAAAACATAATCACTGCACAGAAATCTATGCCACCTGCACTGCGGTGCAATAAAATGTCAAAAGTCGACTGGACTAATGTGCACAGGTAACTCTTCCCTCCAGTCATAGCTGTCAATACCACGATGGACATAGACAGGATTAAAACAAAGATGGTTTTATGTTTGACATGCGAGCTAGTCATCTTGGATGGAAACTGTGTGCGTGGCACGGATGACAAATCACTGTGTTCAGGTTAAAGGGGTATATATGGAGGGCAGGTGTAGATTTTCAACCATCACTTGCACTCCAGGAAATCAACCGGATCACGTGCTGGTCTGTGCTCACGGTTTCCTTCTCTCTTACAAGATAAAAGCAGCTCAATTAGTGCACTATTGGTATATACATGTTGTTTGTTATAATACCAATACTGGTGTATTATTGTAATTAGTGATTTTTATTATAATGTTACATGGCGTTACTTTGACCTATGTGTACAAGGTGTATTCCCAGACTTGTATGCAATGCTTAGGTCAATTACGTTAAACTATATTACAAACTGCAATATAGAATTTCTATGAAAACAAATAGTATTTCATACAAAGTAATCATTGTATCGCCCTTTGCGAGCTTGTATTAAAGACCTGTAAACGTTGTCTCCCTTCATTACAAGCGACGCATCTAAATGATTACCACCCTTCACGATAAATGTAATGTGTCAGATTTGCTAGAACCTTGGTATTGTAATGTATATTGCCGAAATGTGTTGTTTGATTTAATTATCAAGTCATTAATGGACCAATGTTAAACTATAGGCTAGGTGCAGCGTATCGCGCAAACTGCTTTATATAATGAACCTGGAGTTAATTGGGATATTTCGTGGATCATTTAGCTTTAGTAGCCTCGAAGCCACACTCGTACTCTCTATCCACCAGGGTTAATAATTGAAATTACGAAAATATAATCAGTGCAACGAGAAAAATACTGGGATATTTAAAATTGTTCAACAAATACTCGAAATAAAGCGAACTTTCGGTGAAAAATTTGTTTGCAACAAAATTTGCACCATTCGGCTTGTGTGTCTCTGTCAAACTTCAAGAGGTAAAATAAATAGCGGTTTAAACAATACTGCACTTATACATGTGTGTGTGTGTGTGTGTGTTTCTGTCTCTCTGTGAGTGCCTGTGTGTTTGTTTCTGTGTTTCTCTGTGAGTGCCTGTGTGTGTCTCTCTCTGTGTGCCTGTGTGTGTGTCTCTCTCTGTGAGTGCCAGTGTGTGTTTCTGTCTCTGTGAGTGCCTGTGTGTGTGTGTGTGTGTGTGTGTCTCTGTGAGTGCCTGTGTGTGTGTGTGTCTGTCTCTGTGAGTGCCTGTGTGTGTGTGTGTCTCTGTGAGTGTCTCTCTGTGAGTGCCTGTGTGTGTTTGTGTCTCTCTGTGAGTGCCTGTGTGTGTGTTTCTGGGTCTCTCTGTGAGTGCCTGTGTGTGTGTCTGTGTCTCTCTGTGAGTGCCTGTGTGTGTGTTTCTGTGTCTCTCTGTGAGTGCCTGTGTGTGTGTCTCTGTCTCTGAGTGCCTGTGTGTGTTTCTGTGTCTCTCTGTGAGTGCCTGTGTGTGTGTGTTTCTGTGTCTCTCTGTGAGTGCCTGTGTGTGTGTGTGTGTCTCTCTGTGAGTGCCTGTGTGTGTGTGTGTTTCTGTGTCTCTCTGCCTGTGTGTGTGTTTCTGTGTCTCTCTGTGAGTGCCTGTGTGTGTGTGTTCTGTGTCTCTCTGTGAGTGCCTGTGTGTGTGTGTTTCTGTGTCTCTGTGAGTGCCTGTGTGTGTGTCTGTGTCTCTGTGAGTGCCTGTGTGTGTCTGTGTCTCTCTGTGAGTGCCTGTGTGTGTGTGCGCGTGTCTGTGTGTGTGCGTGTGCGTGCGTGCGTGTGCGTGCAGCCGGGCACATATCATTCCGAACTTTCACATGAATAGCCCAAATCAGACAAATCATACGGAAACCGACCCGGCCATCCTTTATCTTATTCCTACAAAAATAACATCTTATAACGTCTTCAGTAGTACATGGACGGGACCGAACCACGAATCCGAGACCCTCCGCTCTGCGGACAGGAGCTCTGTCCATAAGGCCACCTCGCCATATGAGTTACCGTCTATTTTATTATAGTAACACTGGACACTGTCTAAAATATACTTCCCATCAAAAGTTTAGACTCACATATGTAAATAGAGCCACTTACTTCAGGCAACTGTTCCGAACTACATTTTGCAAAATATTCCATACTGTTTAAAGGTACTGTTTACACATGAACGATGTATAGTAAAGCAAAGCCGTAACGTTGAAAAGATTATTGTCATGAGTTCAATAAATGATAAACATAAGTATAAATTGGCGAATTGTTAACCAAACTTTACACCAAAACGCAGCTGGTCACATGCACGATATTTGCAATTGATTTTCAGCAATTTGATGCATGATTCTCGTGCAATTCATCTGCATAAGGTTTGCAGTTGGTTACCCCAAGATAGTGGAGAAATCTTCTTCGATGTAACTATATACATAACATATAGTGAGTGTTTTAAGTGAGCCTAAACTTGTGATGGGAAGTATATATCCCTGCATATGCTTTCAACACATAATACCACGCGGGTCATTGTCCAGTTATCATTGTTAGATACACCATCTAAATTTGGTATGTCATTTGATAAATCAGTAAAACGTCGTACCTGCTTGGCGATACCATTTCCGCTGACCTCGACCCTGACCTTTGTTTTCTGAGACGTGCTTCTTTCAGTGACGCAGACAACCTGGCTGGCAGTCACAGTGCTGACGGGACAACCCGTGCCTCCAATACTGACCTTGACAGCGCTAGAGTCAGACCTGAAACAAGGTGAAGGTCGCTTTAGTTGAAACAACAATATAACAACTGAATAAAAAGAGAAAAAAAAAAAAACTTTCCGTGTTCATTGGTGTTTGATGTTATGATACATTCGTCCCTTTTACGCTCACAGTATAAGTGTAAATCACCCCGCCTGTCGCTGTGTCATCGATGACATCTCTGTCAATGTAACTTCTTTGAGGGGAAATTTAGAAGTTCCGAAGGAAAATACTGACAAACGTTATGGATAACAACAAAGTGCGACGTTTTAATACAGATTCTTGTGCTCTTGCCTTACAGTTTGTCAGTATTGTCTCAGTTAAAGATAATATTACATTTTCGAAATAAAATTAAAAATAGTTAAAAAGAAAAATACACAAGAACACACACACACACCCCATTACAGTTTGTCAGTATTGTCTCAGTTAAAGATAATATTACATTTTCGAAATAAAATTAAAAAAGTTAAAAAAAGAAAAAAATAGTTAAAAAGACAAAATACACTACAGTTTGTCAGAACACAGTTAAAGATAATATTACATTTTCGAAATAAAATTAAAAATAGTTAAAACACATCACCCACACACACACACACACACACACCACCACCACCACCAAAACAAAACCCCAAACCAAAACACACACACCCAAAAAAACCCAAGAAAACAAAAACATAAAGAAACAATAACCAGTAACCTTTTCATTTAAAGTAGATATTGTAATGAATTCTACCTGAAATAACAACTGCTACTTTATCCCCTGTGCCACTCTTATCGATGACATCTCAGTGAAGTGACAATCAACTAAAATGAATTTATTCATAAATAAAATAGAATAAGTTAAAAAGAAACAACTGATTTTCTTTTTCTTTAAAAGTAGATTTTATGATGCATTCTCCCCTTACCCGAATCCAGTTCCCGTAATGGTAACTGTAATGCCACCCCCTGTGCCGCTTCTCCGGGGGGACACGCCGGTAATCTCGGGGGTCAAGGCAGGATCGTAGGTATAGGATGACGCAAGCGTCGACGTCAGACCGTTGACAGTGGCGACAACGTCACATGCTTGTGCAGTTGACACATCTGTCGGGATAGACGAGGGTAGATCAACATGGGTGGATCAACATGGGTAGATCAAGATCAGTTAATACACGTTTGATACATCAGCTATAGTTTATCGACTCTAGTTTGGAAACATGGGAAAATCAACATCAGTTTGGTTGGTTGGCTGGTTGGTTGGTTGTTTAACGCCGCACTCAGCAATATTCCAGCCATATGGCGGCGTTCCGTAAATAATCGAGTCTGGACCAGACAATCCAGCGATCAACAGCATGAGCATCGTTCTTCGCAAATCGTGTCCAAACTGCACATGCTCGATCTACTATATCAGTGAGGCGGCCCACAAACATCAAAGACCTGTGAAGATCCGGGTTAGAACTGGTCTTCAGCAACCCATGCTTGTCGTAAGAGGCGACTTACGGGATTGGGTGGTCAAACTCGGACTTGGTTGACACATGTCATCGTATCCTAATTGCATAGATCGATGTTCGTGGTGTTGTCACTGCATTGTCTAGTCCAGACTCGATTATTTACAGACCGCCACCAGATAGCTGGAATTTTGCTGAGTGCGGCGTAAAACAACAAAGCAAACAATCATCATTATCCCCAGTCACTGACACGACACTTGACTGCCCACACACACACACACCACCCCCCCACACACACACACCACCCCACCCCCCTATGCTGTGATTGATCAAGCTATGCCGGCAGATCGATGTTCATGCTGTTGATCCCTGGTTTGGCTGTTCCAGACTCGATTATTTACAGACCGCCACCATATAGCTGGAATATAGCTGAGTGCGACGTAAAACTCACTCACTCACTCTAGCTATGACGATGAAGTAAGTCGTTACCTTTAGCCGGTGTGCGACAGATGAACTGTGTGGCAGACTGGTCCGGTGTGTCCACGGCTGTACAGGCTTCTCCACAAATCTCCACAGTCGGTTGAGAGTCACGAAACCCTTGCCCGTGATGGTCACCTTTTGGTCCCCAGCAACGCTGCCTGAAAACATAATTATACTCAATGTCATTTTAGAAGTAAACTGACGCACAAAAGAAAGTAAACAGATGGTGCTTTCGGATTCGTTTCTGTTTTTCTTCCTGTTTTTTGTTGTTGTTGTTGCAACACATATATAATGTTTGTGACATGTAAGCGACAACCAAAACACTTTTAAAATCAATTACGCTTTTCTTGTAAATTTATCCCAAAGGATGTGTCCCTTGTACGTCGGTTGGATGTTTAAAATATAATGCTTTGCTTTGCCGTTAATCTTTCCTTTTATCCCCAAAATGAATAGTGATCTCGGTTTAGAAAACACACTATGTTTTAATCAGGTTAGGTATACATTTGCCGTTATAAATATATTCATTTAATAATATTTTTAGGAAAATGAAAATTTTCGAACCGTTCCATTATAAGCATAAAATACAAACTTCACAATTTCTTATTGTCTAAATATATTGCCAAGACGATTCTTCAGCAGTTTCCCCAGTTCTAGTGTTTTCAAAGTGTTTTGCTTTAAGAGCAATAATTGCAGTAACTTATATCCCTTGTATTGCAGCTTACCCCTAGAAGGTGAAATAGTTGTGAGGTCTACTTCGTACGTAAACGTTAAATCAGTAGTTGCTCCCTTCCCTGCTACAACCACTTTGATTGGATACGTTCCAGTTGCCTGGTTCCCAAGCGTACACGTGGCTGTTGTTGCAGTGGCTGTCGTGACGACACACGTGACGTCATTGATGACAATGGCGTTGTCCGCGGCGGTGGCACTAAATCCTGTTCCAGTTACCGTTATGACGTCGCCAGCGACGCCAGTGTTGGGAGAGACAGAGGTGAAGGTCGGAGTCGCAGCGGTGTCGTACGTAAACGCTGCGGTCGATGTCGGGTATGTCGTTCCTTTGGATACGACAACGACGTCGACAGCCCCTGTGGCATGAGACGACGTGTCACACTGAACTTGACTTGGAGTCACCGCAGAAACCACGCAATCTTCTCCGCCGACTTGCACCGTGGTTTTGCCATCAACAAATCCGTTGCCGTTGATGGTGAGAAACGTTCCGCCGTTTACACTACCCGTGGTGGGTGTGATTCCTGATATGACAGCAGAACTCTCAACCTTCACCGTGGGTGTAGCAGTCCCCTTTCCTGCTACAACGACTTCAACGTCATGATTTCCCACGGACACATCGCCGACGGCACAGTCGAACGTCGTGTCTGTAACGGAACCGCTGATTGTACAGACAGATTCATCCAATTTTACGCTGAGGGCTGCAGCGTCGGTACCGAACTTGGTGCCAGTGACGGTAATTGTCGTGGAAGACCCACTGACAGACGTTGGAGTGACGGCAGTAACGGTGGGCGTCTCAGACTCGGCAAAGGTGAAGGTCTTTTCCACGCCAGTCTTCCATTCAGCGGGAACGTCATTTACGCCAGCTGCGACGGTAACGGAGATCGTCTTCTGCCCGAGAGTCGTCCCAGAAGTAACACAGACAATCTCGGTGTAAGTCACACTCGTGACGTCACACGAATATCCCTGCATGTCAACGGTGATGTTGTTAGTCGTTCCCTGGAAACCTGTTCCTGTGATAGTGACCTTTGTTCCTCCGGCCTTTGACCCGGTTGAGGGTGAGACCGCAGACACGTACGGAAGTAGGACAAAGGTCAGTGGTTTTCCACTGTTTCCGCTCTTCGCGTAACCTCTGTTTCCAACACGGACACTCAAACGGTCAAGCTTTCCAATCTCAGGAGACGTGGACGGATCAATCTTAAAGGAGACGGAGCTACTTGACGCACCGTCCTCGACAATACCAACAGCGTCGCCAATGACGATCTCGTTTTGGCATTCAGTGTCGCTTAATCCGGATCCCTCGATAGTGATGACGTCACCAGTTGTGCCTTGAACTTTGCTGATGTTCGTGACAGAAGGCGAGCTGCACTTATAGAATTTAAAGTTGAACTTTGCAGCGTCCTTTACTGCCGGTTCTGGGTCGGTGCAACCAGAAATGGAGGCAGTTGTTCCAGGGCAGCTGGAGGTGTCGGTCGGATCTGAACCAGCTGAAAAAGACAGATGTATTTAAAGTAAAACCATACGATAGCTTTTAATGTGTGTTTAATAGTCACGAGACATAAATAAACGTGAATGTACTTGATTTTTTTAGAGTGATTTGGAACGGATTTTAAGAATAACGCAGACGTAAACATCATTAACTGGACGTGTGAAAGGAATTCCACTGTGACGTATTCAGGTCACGTGTTAATTTAGACCCGCCAGCCTTTTCGTACATCTCGATGGACTACTAATATACTGAGTCTCTTAAAAAAGGTAGGGGAACTTCATTTTTAATTTACGATTAAAAGCATTGGGAGATATATTGGAGTCAATCAAAGTTGATATGATAATAATGAATGTTTTGAAAGTGCATCACCACTTGCACTTCCTTATGACCATAGTTGTTTGTACAGTAATCCTTCTTGAAAGATGATTGGTGTAGGACGTGAAATTTGCATGTGTACGATTTTCATTTTCAAACAGCAAAAACGGCTAGAAACAAACACTAACAACTGTGTCTTACAAGATGATTTTCAAAAGTAATGGTCTCCAGTGATTTATCGACCTTGAAAGCCGTCAAATTCAAGAATGACATGGGGCTACTGCTTTGTGCACGTTCATCAAACGCATTGTGTTTCGGGTGGTGACAAAGAGAAATGGTGGTACGTTCATAAGATGTCTGTTTTTTTTAAAGTTTGTTAACGCTTATACTTCCTATCAAAATTGAAAGTTCATGTTGCCCTACATTTTTTAAGAGTATATAGATAGTATCGTACACCGGAGCACCAAATGATTCCTCTGTTAGTTAGATGTATAGTCAGCGGGTGGCGGGTCACCAACATTATTACGGAGTAGCGTGCCTGTACCACACAATTGGCACGGGTGGGCGGGTGGCCCAGTCACCCACATTGTTACAGAGTAGCGTACCTGTACCAGACAATTGGCACGGGTGGGCGGGTGGCCCAGTCACCCACATAGTTAGGGAGTAGCGTACCCGTACCAGACATCAATCCGCGCAACTGGGATATGCATTGGTGGTTGTTCCGTGGCAGTATTGGTGGTTGTGTAGTTCATTTGCATCCCAATTGAAAAATAAGGTCCCCTACTTTTGTTTAAGAGTATAGTTAGAGGAGAAGGAGTTAATGGCCTTACATGGGTCATAGGTCGCTTCATAGCCGCCAATAGTGAAGGTCAGAACTTCTGTGTGTGACGTTCTAGCGTTCACCTTCACTGCTCCCCTTGCAAGGATATTCTTGCCCTCGTCGATGTAGTCACTGGTGTAGTAGAAGTGGCCGGTGTTGGGGAAGTACTGAGTATAGGCACCTGGATCAGACATACGTAAGATTATTTCAATATTTTGCTTTATTAGCGGTATAAAGAGGAGATGAGCAGATCTACATATCCATAAACATTTGGGATGAGGGAGTAAGGTTAGTTTTACGTCGCATTCAGCAATATTCCAGCTATATGGTTGCGGTGTGTAAATAATCGAGTCTGGACCAGACAAACCAGTGATCAACATCATGAGCATCAATCTACGCAATTGGGATACGATGACATGTGTCAACCAAGTCAGCGAACCTGGCCACCCGATCCCGTTACTTGCCTCTTACGACAAGCATAGGTTACTGAAGATCAATTCTAATCCGGATCTTCACGTGTGATATTTGTTATGACCACACCTAAAATGTTTAGGGTGACTGATGACCAATTGTAACCCCTATCTCCATTGGGTAGGAAACATTGGGAAGCTATATGTATAAAAGAATACGTCAACTGTGACGGCAGCCGGAACATGGATACGGTGCACGACATCGTGATCAAAGACACAGAACCAGACAGGTCATACATCAGGACTACATGATAATCACTGTTTGACGACGATCAACGTTTAACTCAGTCAGCGTCTCGACCTGGGTAATCCATCGCCTCCAGTGACGAGACTCCCAAATGAATTTATAGCTGGGTTCGGTGAATTGTTGATTGTATGTCATCATATCTTTATTGGGCAACGATGCTCATTATATCAACCACTGGGTTGTTTTGCCGAGAATCGTTTCTTTACAAAGCGCTCATATTAATGAAACAGTGTAAACTAGACAAACGCTGAGTTTTTCGGTGAGTGGGTACGGTTCAGAGCTGCTTTTAGCAATATTCCAGTAATATCTCGGCGGGGGACACCAGAAATGGGCTTCACATATTGTATCCATGCAGGGAATCGAACCCGGGTCTACAGCGTGACGAGCGAACGTTTTAACCACAAGGCTACCCCCACTTGAGTTCTGAGGCTACCGTGTCGTTTGTAAGTCTGCTCTACTATATAATCCAGACCAGACAAACCAGTGACTAACAGCATCAGTAACGACCCACGTCATCATAACAGGCGGTGGGGTAGCCTTGTGGTTAAAGCGTCCGCTCATCACGCCGAAAACCAGGGTTCGATAACTCACATGGGTACAATGTGTGAAGCACATTTCTGGTGTCAGACGCCGTGATGTTGCTGGAATATTGCTAAAACGCGGCGTAAGACCACATTCACTCACTCACTCATTACCTGAGATTGGCACACAGGTTATGCAAAGCCTCCCCTCCTATCAACCCTTTCAACAACCTGGATTACCTGGGACCAATTCTACCTAAACTTCCCTTGCGTTATAACCAATAGTATGAATGGAAGAGACGAACCATTTGCTGTTCGAGTTTCACCGGACTTGAACCCGTTGGTCACCTGCTCCGTGGTGCTAGCGTTCTTTACTTGTATGATGCGGTAGAGGATTCCGGACATGAACTCAGGGGTAGTCCATCTGAAGCGGACACTGTCCCCTTCGGCTATCTGACTCAAGTGAGGGACCCATGCATAGCCTTCACCATGAACTGAAAACCAACATCACAGTCACGGTATAATAACACAACGTTGCAATAATTAATATTTTACAAGCAAGCATTTCAATACGAAATACGGAATGTTTTAACAAATAAAGATAAATACCCACCCAAAATACGAGTAATTTTTTTTATTACAGAGTTGTTTATGACGTTACAATGGAATATGACGTCACCAGTTCTGACGTCATCGCATTTATAATTATCAGAGAAGTCGCTGATACTGTTCCATATGAGTATTGTTTGGCAATATTCAGTCAGTATCACAGGTAAGAAATCGGCTTTATCGGTTTCGTTATATATAATAGATATATTTCAGCTATTATAAATTTTATCGGGTTGGTTGTTGGGATTGGGAAACGATTACATGTGTGAACCAAGTCAGCGATCCTGACCACCAGACCCCGTTAGTCGCCTCTTACGACGAGCATGGGTTGCTGAAGATCAATTCTAACCCTGATCTTCACGAGTACTTTAACTATAGTACCCATGTGGAGAATCGAACCCTTTCACACTTTAACGTCTCAAATGTAGGGAAATGTTCCATCATCCACGTAGGTACAGCGTGTGAAGCTGATTTCTGCTCTCCCAGTGTAAATATTGCTGAATATTGCGAATAACTTACTCACGCACTCACTCCGACCTATCAATAATTGTATAAAGGGACACAACTCTGCAAAATCATCATTGTTCGTTGAACCACTGAATCCTTATATATCAAACATCCATGTACCTGGATCAGATCCAGTATTGGCGACCTCGTGGACGACACCTGTAAAGGCGATGGTACATATCACCGTGGTTGCTGTTGCTGACTTCACGTCACATTTGTGGGGGCCAAACATCACCACAGCAGCTGCAACGTCACCCGCAACGAACCCTTCACCGGTAATTATGACCTTAGTGCCGCCAAACATTGAGCCCACCTTGGGATGGATGTTGGTCACTTTCAGCGTGTACGTCACGGCGGATATACTGTTGGTGCTGTCAAACATAAAATACTTTGCAAAGGTCGCTTAAAATTAATATTCTTTTCATTTAGAGGATCACTGTTTATGACAAGTGATGTCAGCGGACTCTTTGCCAGTAATTCATAGATCGACAGAATGTGGTCACTTAGTAATACGCAGATCGACACAATGTGGTCACTTAGTAATACGTAGATCGACACAATGTGGTCACTTAGTAATACGTAGATCGACACAATGTGGTCACTTAGTAACACGTAGATCGACACAATGTGGTCACTCAGTAATACGTAGATCGACACAATGTGGTCACTCAGTAATATGTAGATCGACACAATGTGGTCACTGAGTAATACGTAGATCGACACAATATGATCACTTAGTAATATGCAGATCGACACAATGTGGTCACTCAGTAATACGTAGATCGACAGAATGTGGTCACTTAGTAATACGTAGATCGACACAATGTGTCACTTAGTAATACGTAGATCAACACAAAATAGTCACTCAGTAATACGTAGATCGACACAATGTGGCCCTTAGTAATACGTAGATCAACACAATGTGGTCACTTAGTAATACGTAGATCGACACAATGTGGTCATTTACTAATATATAGATGGACACAATGTGGTCACTCAGTAAAATGTAGATCGACACAATGTGGTCACTCAGTAATACGGAGATCGACACAATGTGGACACTTAGTTATACGTAGATCGACACAATGTGTCACTCAAGTACTCACGTGGTATCCGCATATCCAGAGACGCCGATCTTCAGCATGAGGGCACAAGACCCGGCCGGGTTTGAGGGCGTGTCGAAGACTATCTCGGTGGCGGAGTAGCTGGTGATGTTTGCAGTTTTTCCACAGAGTGTCAGGGGATTCGCTGGATCCGCACTTGCACCAAACCCGGTCCCGGAAATAGTGATGGACTCGCCACCTGATAACAAATTGAATAAGTTCATTTGAAATATCGGAGTGAGTGAGCGAGTTTAGTTTTACGCCGCTTTGTGCAATATTCCAGCAATATCACGGCGGGGGACACCAAAAATAGGCTTCACACATTGTACCCATGTGGGGAATCGAACCCGGGTCTTCGACGTGACGAGCGAACGCTTTGACCACTAGGCCACCCCACCGCCCCTTGGTATGTTGGAAGCAACACGGCCACTGGGGTCGTTCAGACTCAAGTCTAATTGTGTAAAGACGAGTGGTGCGTATAAATAAGTTTTAAAAGTTATAAAAGAACAAGCGGCGCCCATTTGAAATTCTCACGTTCTTTACGAACATTTTTTGCACGGCCAGCACTTACATCAAAGAAATGAGTGCGTGAGTGAGTATGGTTTTACGCCGCTTTTTATCAATATTATTCCAGCTATATCACGGCGGGGGACACCAGAACTGGGCTTCAAACGTTGTACCCATGTGGGGAATCGAACCCGGGTCTTCGGAGTGACGAGCGGACACTTTAACCACTATGCTATCCCGCCGTCCACCTCGCACTTAAACCAAAGTAAACTAAGTTCTTATAAAAATGGAGGCAGAAATTCGTGGAAGTGCATGCGCACTTACCTCTGACGTTGCTGCTGCTTTTGGAGATGGCGCTGATGACGGCTGTTGCAGCGGAGGCATAGTTGAACTCCGTGGGGAGAGGTCAAGGTCGCACCAGTCTGCTCAACGGTTACAGGAACGTTTGTTTTTGACGATGCAGTCTAAACAATTGTGAAAAAAATATATGTAAAACACAGTTCTTAAACCTCCTTTAAGTGGTCTCTTTGTGGGTCAGTATATGTCTGTCCAGTAAAGTAGACTGACTGACTGACTGAGTTTGGTTTTACGCCGCTTTTAGCAATATTCCAGCAACATCACGGCGGGGGACACCAGAAATGGGCTTCACACATTGTACCCATTTGGGGATTCGAACCCGGGTCTTCGGCGTGACGAGCCAACGCTTTAACCACTTGGCTACCACACCGCCCCTCCAGTAAAGTAGAGTAACTCAAACAATGGCCACGATATTGCTTGCCAATCAGAGTTAGTGAGTATGACTTTACGCCGCTTTTAGCAATATTCCAGCAATATCACGGCGGGGGGACACCAGAAATGGGCTTCACACACCCGGGTGTTCAGCGGGACGAGCGGACGCTTTAACCATTGGGCTACCACACCGCCTTAGCCCAACCAATCAGAAACTAGCTCTCCGGCAAAGATCTTTTGAAACGAACGCAAACACGCTTTGGTGGACAGTTAAGTGCTTTAGTGTATGTCATATATCACCTATATTTCGATTAAACGATTGCTTTTCGCATATTTCCTGATCCGAACGATTGTCATGCTAACAGAACCATTAAGGTTAACTGGATTAATAATAAACCTAGTAATTATGACAATAACATTTAAACAAACAGAATATTTGTGGAGTTTAAAAAATTATAGACACCCAGTTAATTGATAAGTGTGCACAGGTATTTCATTCTCAGCTTCACAATATCGTTACTAACCGCTGCAGGCGTGACGCAGACGATCTGGCCAGGTTCAATGACGGGAGACGTGCACACAACGTTGTCAACCTTTACAACAGCGTCGCTGGTGAACCCGTGTCCAGAAAGGGTCAATGATGTACCACCTGTAAAAGGTCATTATAAGGTAAGCTGTCAATGAAAATTAACTAAAATTCATTATAACACTATGCAAATATATACAATATTAGGAATATTCCTAAACTTGTCAACAATGGGAATTATTCCACATATTTAACACTTCAAGTCTATGAGTCAACCGAAATTCGAGAACATGCCCACAAAGGATTTTATGATATATTTTACATGATATATAATAGATTTATTTCAGCTACCAAGGTTAAAGAACTATATTTGGTTAGTCACGCTCTTAACGACTATGAAATGGTTACTAAATATTCAGGAATCGTAGTTGAAGTTCTGTTTGATAGGGTGTGAAGTCGAACTTTGGTGAAAGACTTACCTGCCAGACTACCAGTTGTTGGAGAAATGCCGGTCACAGATGATTCATATTCAAACTGCTCAGTGCTATTTGCCATCCCTTTGCCGTCCACGCTGACCATGACAACATAACTTCCGGTTGGCCCATTGCCAACGGTACAAGTGATCTGAGTGGCTGTTGCTGCGGTAACGGCGCACGCCACGCCTCCTATCATTACCTTGTTATTATCAGCTGTGGTGGAGAAGCCTGTCCCGGTGATTGTGAGGACTGTACTTAAAGCAAGTGTGCCTGCAGTAGACAGAGGCAACATGGTAATATCAGCAGAGGTACTGGTATACAGCAGGCCAAGGTCACAGTATACACCTTGAGTTCTAAGTTAGAGTGTTTGGCATTTTGGAAATAAATGTTTGGGTAATTTGGCGTTGGTCTGTCTTCATAACAAAATCATATCAATCAATCAAGTTTATTTCGTAACAAGGCCTTAGGCCCACGTACAATACAAATAAGCATTTGTAATTATAAGATAGTGGCATTTGACAATCAGGTTTATGTGTATAAAGAACGCAATGACAATGCTTCCTTAATGTAAGAAGAAAAATTTGTTAGTGTTGAAAACTTTGTACAGGATAATGTGTTTAGAAAGTATTGCTGATCTATGTAATTTGGTAATGCTTTAAAATACTTATAGCGCAAATCATGATAAATTTTACATTCAAATAGGAAATGAAATTCGTTTTCTACAAAATTATCATTACAGATATTACATAGTCTTTGGTGCCTCGGAACTCCATCAAATCTACCGGTATTATTATATATTGGAAGTGCACCGATTCGTAACATTGTTATTCGACGCCTCGCATCTTTAGATTTCAATAAAGTTAAATATGGCTCAATGCAAAATACACTTTTGATACTGGAATAGACATCAAGCGATGAACATTTGTGCATTTCTGAAAATATGAATTGCTTCTGACAATCACCAACTCTTACATGAAAATCTTTCAAAAATTGTTCCTCGTTGCCTACTCCTTGAGCTTCCCACACAAAACCAAAACCATAATTGAACAAAGTATTTCGGACAAAATATACCCACGTTTTCCTACCAATTTTGTCTAAATTATGCAACATAATATAGCACTGCTTTGGATTTCTATCCTTTGGTAAGCGTAAAAGTTTGAACCAATACTTCATAACACGTAATAAACTATCAACATAAATACAATTTCTACCACATTCCGCCAATACAGCAGCGTTAGAGCATGTATAACTTACGCCCAACACATACTTACAAAATCTAATGTGAAACTGTTCAATAACATGCCATTTCCGAAAACCCCATATTTCCGAAGCGTACAAAATTATCGGCTTTATCTGAACGTCAAAGATTTTGAACAAAATAATTGGAGACATATTTTTAAGTCTCCTACCAAAAACCTTAACTGAGCACAAGGCGTTATTCGCTTTATTTACCAGATTTTGAACTGATTTAGACCATGAAAATCTAAATCATATGTTGGTTTGGTTTGTTGCTGTTTGACGCCACACTCAGCAATATTCCAGCTATATGGCGGCGGTCTGTAAATAATCGAGTCTGGACCACACAATCCAGTGATCAACAGCATGAGGATCAATTTACGCAGTTGGAATACGATGACATGTGTAAACCAAGTCAGAGAGCCTGACCACCCCATCCCGTTAGTCGCCGCTAACGACAAGCCGGGGTTACTGAATGCCAATTCTAACCCGGGTCTTTACGGGTCGATAGCTTGGAGTGTCATATGAACAAGTGAAACTCCTAACGCATCAAGTGCCTTCGAGCGGCAAATTTTGAAAAATGTGTTGAAACTGTGCAAAATATGATGTTCTCATTTTCTGAGAAACTGGAAATTGTTAATTCATATGGGAAATTTATACAAACATTTTCTGCAGACAAGTGGTGAATAAAAGCCTCTGGGGGAAATTAGATGAAACCCAGGTTACGTAGAATGATTCACATGGGTCTAGACTTGCACATGCCTCTAAGGTAATAATTACTAGTTTAAATGAACATTTCTATAAAAATATAAATAACAGACTGACTTCCTTACTGTCCACTTATCTAGACTTGTCTCTTTGAAGACAGAATTACTATACACTCAGGAGATTAGCATTGAGTACAGCCTTGGAGCAAGGCTATATATGGGCTTACCGTTTGCAGGGCTGATAGCGGTGACGCTCGGTGTTGCAGCGGTGGTCCATTCGAAGACGCAGTCGCCGTCGCACATACTGGGGATGTTGTTCACCATGACTCTCACCTGCCAAGGAAAACAATGTGTGGTTCTGATATGTGTACATGTTGTTTGATGCCGCAACACTATCTTAGATACACATGTACACGTGAAGATCCGGGTTAGAATTGATCTTCAGTAACCCATGCTTGTTTCCACCGTGAAGATCCGGGTTAGAATTGATCTTCAGTAACCACGCTTGCCTCCACCGTGAAGATCCGGGTTAGAATTGATCTTCAGCTACCCACGCTAGTCTCCACCGTGAAGATTAGGATTAGAATTGATCTTCAGTAACCCATGCTTGTTTCCACCGTGAATACCCGGGTTAGAATTGATCTTCAGTAACCCACGCTTGCCTCCACCGTGAAGATCCGAGTTAGAATTGATCTTCAGCTACCCATGCTTGTCCCCAACGTGAATATCCGGGTTAGAATTGATCTTCAGCAACCCATGCTTGTCCCCACCGTGAAATCCTGGTTAAAATTGATCTTCAGCTACCCATGCTTGTCTCCGCCTTGAAGATCCCGGTTAGAATTGATCTTCAGCAACTCATGCTTGTAAGCGGTAACGTTTAAAGGACAAAAATGCACATTCTAGTGGTTCCCACGTGGATTTCAAACCTCATATCATCCTGTTAGTTTGCGGTAAAACTAAATGGGCTATGACTTATTTCAATTCAGCTATAGCTTGCTTGAGATGTCAATTTACTTGAACTGGTTCCAGTAAAAGATGCCATTATTTCATCCACTACTGACAAATTGTGAGACCATTTCGTAAACGCACATTGTTCTTCAACGCCGGACTCAGACGTATTAAAGCTATGGCGGTCTGTTAATAAAAGAATGTGTTCCACACAATCCAGTGATTGACATCATGAGCATCGATGTACGCAAATGGGACACGACGACATGCATCAATCAAACCCGATCGCGTTACAAACGTTTTCTGCCGAAAATCAATTAAATCCTGGGCCATAGTATATTGGCTTCGACCTCATCAGATCTTGTATTGTTTCTCCGTATTGCCATGCGCCAGGCAAGGCAATATCAATTACCTGGTCATCTTTAGTACGACGCGGACGGGCATCGAACCACCAGCCTTCCGCTCTCGGGGCACAAGCTCGATCTACTACACCAGTGAGAAGGTCCACAAACAACAGAGACCCGTGAAGATCCGGTTTAAAATTGATCTTCAGTAGCCCATGCGTGTCCTAAGAGGCGACCAACGGGATCGGGTGGGCAGACTCGTTGACTTGGTTGACACATGTCATCGCATTCCAATTGCGTAGATCGGTGCTCATGTTGTTGATCAGTGGATTGTGTGGTCCAGACTCGATTATTTACAGACCGCCGCCATATAGCTGGAATATTGCCGAGTGCGGTGTAAAAGTAAACTCACTCACAAACGACAGAAATACGTACCTCTGGTTTGTCAGTAATTGTCCGAAGCATGTCGCCCTGGATTGGGTCGTACCACACACTGCCGTTCCGAGTTGTCACGACAGCGCTGCTGAACTCATTTCCTGTCACATCACCCGTTGTTAGCTGGAGAGAACATAACGATTTAATCCTTTAAACCACCCTGCAAACGTCATCTCGGCGTTATGAACTTAAGATATGACCCATATAGCTTTCCATGATTTCATTTTTAAAGATTAAAGATTTTTAAATATATCACAAAAGTTTATAAAGTGGTCGTAAATAGCACATTCAATGCCGTGAGGTAAATACGGTACATGACCAGTCTATGACTGCGTCTCTATCTTTAGGATGATGTCGTAAATTACTAATCAAAATGTGATAATAACAGGTGTTTGCTTGAGGGTGAGTGTACAGAGTCCCTTCAGTGACATCCTTCACAAACACACGCAAGGGAAAGTCAAGTGTTCAGTGAAAAGTGGGGAACGTACCGAAAGCAGATATGGGCCGTGTCAGTCAGAAAGCGACAGTAGAGCGAATAATACATGTGGACCTACAAAACCACTCAGTCATTGGCCTCGAAGTTAAGCTTATTATTATTCACACTATTCTTATTATTCTTACTACATCTATGAACTCAATTAGCGCTTTGAACACACTTTGGTGTGGAGTGTAGCGCAATATAAGAATCCATATTATTACTATTATTATTATTATTACCGTCGCTTCTTCCTGGTCACCGGGCTGACTGGCCCACGTGACGATGTATTTGAAATTGGCGCAGTCCCCCTCGCGCTCCACCTGCATATCTCCCGTCGTGCCTAGCGCCTCCAGTTGTGCCTCTACTTCCTGGCTCGTTGCGCTTGGCTTTATAGCTGGAAGACACGGCGTCATCACATAAACACAAGCTGCTTATGTCAAACTAAGCAAGGCGGCAATAATCCCCAAACCCCCACCCCCACCCAACCAAAAAATCCAACCCAACCCCCCCAAAAAAAACAAAAAACAAAAAACAACCAAACCAACAACAAACAAAAGAGAACAAAAAATATTTAAATAGGTCCAATTTAATTTGCTTAATATTATCTTAGTAACGGGAAATATAATGAAATTGATTTTTTTACAGCAAATAATAGATTCTGAAATAACGTAAAATTGCAATAAAAAGTAACACAGGCTACAAAAGAGGAAGAATTTGGCTTTCGTGTGTGTGTCACTGTAAAACGTGGAGATGAGATTAAATGGGTTTAACTTTACTGCACTTATAATGCGCCGTATGGCTGTTGTGCCTACTGCATGTATGTGTGTGAGTGCGTGTGTGTGCGCACGTGCATGTTTGTGTGTATCAGCAGTTGTTGCTGTCACATATGTTCTATACTATTTAGCAATCGAGAGAAACCACGTGCGGCCATGATGTCAAAGTTGGCACTTCCTGGTTACTGTTAAACGTTATGTGAAATTTACCTTGAGTTTTCTCCCCTTTAAAGGAGACCTGGAAGTTACCGGCTATCGGCGGCGAGGCTCCAGACACGCGGGTTACACTGACATCAACACTGGAGCTGCCAGATACGGTCTGATGGAAGAGAATCGGTGAGTGAGCGAATGACATTTTATATGTCATTGTTAATAGACTATGGAACTGTCACCGAAACATGATCGGGGTTTGATAATAAGTCGAAGCACACAGTCTGATCACCCAATAACCTTTAGTATCGAGTATTAGTATCCGGGATTCGAACCCACACCCTCAGAGTAAGGCTCCTAATCGCCAGTACAAAAGTCAACGACTGTTGTTCAATCTTAACTTACGTCAGCCTTAGCGCTAAGATCGCTTTGTTAAGCGGAGCCCTGAGTGATATTTGTTGAACACCAACGGGGGTTTCGTGCAAAAGCCACAGTTAACGAATGCTTAGTACGTCTTATTGAAGCTCAAATCGTTCGTGTAAACGGAAACCAGAGCCCAGTGCTGAGCGACCCGTGAAGGTTCGGCTTAGAATTGGTTTCAGCAGTCGTTGCTTGCAGTAAGTGGCGATTAAAGGGATCGGGTGGTCAGGCTCGCTCATTTGGTTGAGTCATCGTATGCCTATAGCGTCAATCGATGCTCATGCTGTTGATCACTGAATTGCCTGGTCCAGAATCGATTATTGAAATACCACCGCCATATAGCTGGGATATTGTTGAGTGCGGCGTTAAACCACAAACAAACAAACAAACAAAAATCAGTGTTAATGTGTCTCCACACGTTTTTCTATACTTACTGACGCAAATTCGGCAGCGAAGAGAGGGAAGTTGTTGCCGCACTTGTGCGGGTCGATGGCAATGGTGTAGTTCTTGTCACCATCTTTGGTAACGTCTACTCCACGAACGAACGCACCGTTTGGTTTACCTTGCTGCAAACGACGTACGTTGATACCAGCTGCACAGAGAAAGAGGCAAACGAATCAGTAAGTGGGTTTGAGTTCGATTCCAAAAGTCTTCCAGTTATAGCAAGACCCTGTGCTAAAACACCCACACTATACTGAGGTACAAAAGAAAGTTCACAGTGTCTTTTAGTTATTTTGTGGTTATTTGAAAAGTGTTTTGATTGTGATTACAAGTGGCAAACGTCCATGATTGTTCCTCTTGTGAGTGAGTAATGCTTAATGGGAATCCTGGTTCGAATTGGTCTTCAGTAACCCATGCTTCTTGCAAGAGGCGACTAACAGGTGGCCTGACTCGCTGATTTGGTTAACACATGTCATTGTGTCACAGTTACGTAAATCGATGCTCATAAAGGTTGATCACTGGATTGTCTGGTCGATTATTTACAGACCTCCGCCGTATAACTGGAATCTTTCTGAGTGCGGCGTTCAACCACAAACAAACAAACAAATGAAAACCGTACCGAGATCATCCGTGGTGTCCTCCCTGACGACGGATACTGTGTCGACGTAGACGTCATCGATGGAGCTGGAGCGGTAGAGTCTCATTTGATGGAGCCGGTAGTCAATATGACCTGATCTGTGGTCATTCGCAATCTTGTTCAGGTCAATACACGTGTACGCCCACCTATAGTAAAACAGATGAGTGAGTGAGTTTAGTTGTACGCCGCTTTTAGCAATATTCTAGCAATATCACGTCTGGGAACTGCAGAAATTGACTTCAGACGTTGTACCCATGTGAGAATTGAACCCGGGTCTTCAGCGAGAGGAGCGGACGCTTTAACTACTAGGCTACTCCACCGCCCCCACTCACAAGTAACAGAGGATGTTGCAATGTATGCCAGGCCTGTTGTATACAAAGAAAGCACTATTCATCGTTTGATCGGTATTCTACAAGCTGCTGAGTCAATAACTTTATGGGTGAGTGAGTGAGTTTGGTTTTTACGCCACTTTTAGCAATATTCCAGCAATATCACGGCGGGGGACACCAGAAATGGGCTTCACACTGTGTACTCACGTGGGGAATCGAACCCGGGTCTTCGGCGTGACGTGCGAACGCTTTAACCACAAGGCTACCCCACCGCCCCAATAACTTTATGAATACTAACTTCTTGTTTATTGCTCAGAGCGACGTTTGGGAAAGATTCTGACATCGTTTTCAAACTAAACGTGATCTGCAAAATGGTGCATGAATCAACACCGAAACGTCGCTCTGTGCAATAAATAAGACGTTGTTATCCATTAAGTTGTATAATTTATTGAAGCATTATCCACAGATAACGCGTGGCGTCACACTCAATGAGCCAACCAACCAATCATAACGTCAGAATCAACACCAAAACGTCGCTCTGTGCAATAAATAAGACGTTGTTATCCATTAAGTTGTATGATTTATTAAAGCATTATCCACAGATAACGCGTGGCGTCACACTCAATGAGCCAACCAACCAATCATAACGTCAGAATCAACACCGAAACGTCGCTCTGTGCAATTAAAAAGACGTTGTTATCCATTAAGTTGTATGATTTATTAAAGCATTATCCACAGATATCGCGTGGCGTCACACTCAATGAACCAAATAACGTCAGCTATAACGTCATTATCCAATGGTGACTAAACAGCTGGACCTACTTGTCAGGGTTGTCAACTGCCGGGACATTGAAGTTCTTCCACGTGGCTATTCTATCTCCATCCTCCTCTTCGTAGTCAAACTTCATGTTAAGGTTCTTCACCAAGCCTCTATAGGCAAGACACACCTGGGAACAAAATATGGCCGTCAGTGAAAATCATAAGACCCGTGAGGATACATTTGTCTTGACCCGCCCAAAATATGTGCGATATTGGTTATGTTGTTGGTGTTCAGCTATTCCGGCTATATGGCGGCGGTCTGTAAACAATCCAGTCTGGGCCACACAATCCAGTGATTAACAGCATGAGTATCAATCTACGCAATTGGGATACGATGACATGTGTCAACCAAGTCAGCGAGCCCGACCACCCGATCCCGTTAGTCGCCCTTACAAGAAACATGGGATACTGAAGACCAATTCTAACCCGGATCTTGACGGGTGATATTTATTATGACCGCCCCTAGAAGGTTTTGGGTGATCTCACCCCCTCGAGTCAGTCCGAATCGAAATTGATTTAATGGACACGGGTATCAACGTGGAGAAAAAGATTGTCTTAAGAATTGTCCGTTAGAATTGGTCATCGATCTAACCCACACAGCCACCACGCACTTTATCTAAACTGTAATGTAAACTGGCCCAGCTCATACGGCCGACAGCTATGTACAGCTTTGTAAAACACTGCTATTTAGAAAGTACTGGGATCTGTACTTAGCTGAAAAAGTGTAATCTCAAATATACCATAACATATGTTACATTTGGCCATTTGCTAAATGGCATTGCGTATTTAAAGCTTCTGGCCCAAGGAGTATCAAGTTACATTTGGCAGAGTGAATGAATTTAAAATAGTATCCTTCCTCTGATAGTATCCTTCCACACTAGCAAGCAAAACAAAAAAAACAACCCCTAATGGCTTTGTCATGAGAATAATTAGTAAAATAATACTGGATGACAACAAATAAATCTTATTCTGGACACGATTATCTCCCCTTGCACACAATTACAATTTTCAGATACTGCACATATCAATTAGGCGAAAGCACTTCCATCATCATCATCATCGGTATTATTAAAGGTTATAAACTTCAGTACTCACCACCTTGTACTGTGAGAGGGAGATTCCTTTTGAGCTTGTATCCTTCAGATACAAATACTGAGGGTTCTTGGACGAGAAGCGGCCACAGAACGGAGGTTCGTCTGACACCGGCACGCCATACCTGAGGTGCACTCCACTCTCAAAATTCATTAGGTATTTGTTGCTAGGGGGGTTGTCGTAGATTTTGGGGCAACGGACGCTGAACAACGACAGCATTGCCTCCTTCAGCTGGAACATGGAACAGGCGGTATCAGAACATGTCATCTCAGTTTAAAATGTACGGCATCAAATACCCAATAACACCCGTAAAAGTGTGATGATAATGAGAGACAGTGTACTGCATGGCCTCCTTCACCTGGAACATGGGACATGCGTTATCTCAGTTTTAAAATGTGCGGTATCAAATACCCAATAACACCCGTAATAGTGTGATAATAATGAGAGATTGTGTACTACATGGCCTCCTTCAGCTGGAACATGGGACATGCGTTATCTCATTTTAAAATGTGCGGTATCAAATACCCAATAACACCCGTAATAGTGTGATACTAATGAGAGATTGTGTACTACATAGCTTCCTTCAGCTATAACATGGGACATGCGTTATCTCATTTTAAAATGTGCGGTATCAAATACCCAATAACACCCGTAAAAGTGTGATGATAATGAGCGATAGTGTATTGCATAGCCTCCATCAGCTGGAACATGGGACATGCGTTATCTCAGTTTAAAATGTGCGGTACCAAATACCCAATAACACCCGTAAAAGTGTGATGATAATGAGCGATAGTGTATTGCATAGCCTCCATCAGCTGGAACATGGGACATGCGTTATCTCAGTTTAAAATGTGCGGTACCAAATACCCAATAACACCCGTACAAGTGTGATAATAATGAGAGACAGTGTACCACATGGCTTCCTTCAGCTATAACATGGGACATGCGTTATCTCAGTTTAAAATGTGCGGTATCAAATACTCAATAACACCCGTACAAGTGTGATGATAATGAGAGACAGTGTACTGCAATGTGATTAGTTGAGAACTTTGTTAAAATGGGATAATTTGAAAAAAAGACGGGATCTTTTGTCAAGTGTGCCATGCCAATTGTCTACGAAGTAATATATCGGTATAATATAAATACAATATAACTCTATATCAAATATGTATAAATGGAGTTGCATCGGTAATCCGAACACTTTGTAAAACAAACGAATCTTTGAAGAAAGAAATGATGATGACGTCCCCCCAAAAAGAACCATGGTGCCTCATGTATCCAGGATAATCACCATCGTGGAATGTATAATTCAAGTGATAAAGGAGAATGTTGAACCCTTTAGAGAATTTGTTTGAATAATAAAACCAAAAGATATAAATCTGGTTCAACTGTACCAGAGTGCATGAATTTGGTTTTAGGCCACTTTTAGCAATATTCCAGCAATATCACAGAGGTGGACACCAGAAATGGGCTTCACATATTGTACCTATATATGTGGGGAATCAAACCCGGGTTTTCGGCGTGACGAGCGAAGGCTTCAACCACTAGGCTACCCCACCACCCGACCATTACAGTGAGTATCACCTCTGTCTTGAACGTTAACGCAGGAGCACTTACGTCACTGTCACTGGCGGTGACCTTGACACTCGGGGAGGGGACATCATGCATCTTGAGGCTAAAGTGTGTTAATGGTGATCTCCCTGGGGTCTTTTCAGCAATGGTGATTGTGCAGTCGGTCGGGCCTCCGGCATCGAACATATAGGTGAGGTCGGGAAAGTTGCCTTAAACAGAGGAATGATAGAAAATATATCATACTTTTAAAAAAGACACACAGCGTACAGTTTGTTATAGGTAAATGGCCCAGTATCATTAAACCCACTGTCAAAGTATCCGCAATATCAAATAAATGTAAAATTTAATACTTGAATAGTCGTTTAAAATGTGGGTTTAAATTATCAAGGGAGGTGAAACTGGTTTAACTTTAAATTGGATTAGAGATCACCATTCTAACACAGGGGCGTGTATTTCAGCTGAAATGTTATTTCGCTGACATTTGTTTCTTCGTGGTTAAACGCCGCACTCAGCAGTATTCCAACTTTGTGACGGCTGTCTGTAAATAATAGACCGATCCAGTCCCGGCCGATAAGCCCCGCCCACTTCGTTTTTGACGTTAGGGGTGACAACCACTGGCAAATCACAATGGCGTCACCGCCGGAGAAACGTTACGTGATTGGGAACGTTGTTGGTGAATTTTGCTTGTGATACTTTGGTATCCGTCGTTTGTGAATGTTATTTAAAGAGGCAAGTTATACGTATGTGATTTTTAATATATTTTAGCTGGCAGATTACAACTGGCGAGTGAAAATGAGTTACATGCCCGATGAAAAAACGTCTCGACTAGCTGCTGAGACTGTAGGAAGCGTAATTTCTTTCGAATCAATTAGCTATCTGGCAATTATTCACCACCGTCACAGATATTAGCAGGGGAAGGATAACTGAATTTTGTTGTTTGGGTTTATATTTTTTTAAAACTCGTGAACACAACCACATGTTCATGTTGCAGATCGTTTCGGTATCTATAAAAAGATTATCAACACAGCACGTGGCGCATTTACTTATCCGTTGGCGTTGTTCAAATTTAGTTCAATAATCTGAAAACATGGGTTTCTATCTTTTAATGAATTAAGAGAATGGTAAATAAAATGCAGAAAATATTTCCCGTCTACTACTTCATGCACCTTATTTGTCTGTACAATTAATGTAAACAAATCATAATCTATTTGACAGCATAATCTATTTGATCTTATTTGGAAATCTGGAAAAGGTAATTGGGCTTGTAAACAATATGTTTCCATGGACGTATCTGGACATACCCAGAAGCAAATATTCAACAGCTGATCTGCAGCAACTCTCAGTAAAGTTTCTCTCTTCAAAATCTGTACACCATGATAAAATGACACTGAATATAAGGAAATCATTGTTTTAATCATCATTTCCATTTAATTTTTCTATATGTACTTTGTTATGGAATCCTAATTTACATACAAACTTCCACAATACTGGACTTCATGAACTGCCGGCGTTTATGTACAGGTATGTCACAGCACCAGAACACAAAGAAGATCCAAGATACTGTCTGCACCTGTACACTAGCTGACCCATCTTCCAGAAATAGGAAACATGTGATGCAAAATTTTGGAACAGAGAATACACAGTTATCCGAACAATTAACTAGCATTGAAATAGAATGTTACACAAAATACAAATGTAGATCTATTGTTTTTTCATCAGAGATGTTTAACTGCTAACTACTAGTGTAAATAAGGTGCAAAGAATATATCCTATGTTCAAAGCCTTCTGTCAATACAATTACATATTGACATTATTGCTTCTTAATTAAACAATGATAATCTTTGTTTTATTAGATCTGAGACCATATCCCTAGAGGACATATCACTGATTTTGATCCATTTCCTTTTCTGAGATACTTACTGGTGTCATAACAATTATAATAAAGTTGATTCAAAATTTGGTAAAAGTCCTAACAAAGGTTTAGGAAAACAGACATGAAAATGCCCTGAAGCGTTCATCTCCTACAAACCAGTGTGCAATTTAATATGAAGCTCATTTTGCAAATAACCATCAACAAACCTTGAACAATTTGTCCAAATCCACCATCTTAATAAACACTAGCTTTGGCCTAGTCTTCAAATATTAGTAACCTCCTAAAAAACTTATGATTTATCAGAAGAATTACATCAAATATGGGTTAAATATATGTTTCAATCTTTATTCCGTTACATGAAAAGTCACCTGAGATTTTTGTAAGTTATTCTGTTCCAGGACTGGATAATGCCTGACCAGGGTTTGACCAAAACGTAGCCTTTGCTTTTTCAAATTTTCTGGATGTTGAAATAACTTTAATGAGTTATGATACTAGCAATCACTTTCAGAATTATCTTATTTGTAAATGTAGTATTTAAAAAAACATCTAAAAGTAGGAGCCAAGAAACTAAGTTAATACCAAGTGATTGTCCTGCCATGATATGTATGGTGTTTGTTTGCCTAGTTCTGCCTTAAAATCTAAAAAATCTGATATGTCAATCAATTGAATAATTATTTATTATTGATTAGATTATTATTAATTTTATTACCCTTCCACGTTTACTGAAATCAGCAAGATTCTTAAAACATACCTTGCTATCATTTCCAGTGAATTAATCAAAATTACAGTTGTAATATTACTCCTAAAATGTACCATTATATGTGAATAATTTATGTGGTAACAAAACTTCAAATAATGTTCTCGTAATTAAGATATACACTTTATTTCACTCCGTCCAATACTCCAGAAAGTCACTATTCTTCTCACATAGTTTTCGTATTCGATCAACATGGAGGAAGGTAATTCAGTTCAAAGTCCCATGCAACTCTTTATAAAAAATCTGAAATATTTAAAGCATGGTTTTATAGGCACTCATATGAACTAATTTTGATACTTGGATATTGCATGATAGGCAACTGCTGACACTGACAATATTTCCGTTTGAATAAAAAATATTACTCCTCGAATATTTTGCTCTGTTAACAAGATACTGTAGGCCTTCAGATTGTGCTTATGAAACTTAAAACATCCTACAATGTGGGACAAATTGAAGACTATCTAAGAGCGAAGGGGACAATATCCGCCACATTGTTCTTTCATGTAACAAGTTTTGCTATTTCGGTTGACCCTAACCGAAATGAAGATTTGTTCACATCGTGTCACGGCTTTCTCGCCTGTCTCATTTGAGCTTTATGGCGTACCAACTCAATGCCTAGTAGTGACTAAAAACGTTAAGCAAAAACAATTTTGTAGTTACAAGAATTGTCCGTGTTTATAACACTTGCAAAGTCTTAAACTGCTATTTGTTGTCATCAATTGGTAATGATTTTGCACATGTGCAAAAGTGTGGAAATTCGTGCAAATTCTCATCAGCAGACAGACGTAGGTTTCCTGAACGATGGTGCAGACATTTAACTGATCGTTAGGCCTATCGTGTTTCTTGATCCGCCTCCATTTTTGTTGTCTTGGCCGTAATGGTTTTGTTAAGGTACACATCAAATCGCAGCAATATATAATAAATATAGCGAGTGTAAATGGCATAATTCGAAGCACATCGCTTCGGATGCATCGTTTGACCCCGGAAATAAGTCTGACAAATCCACACAGCGCGCCCGGCCTGCTGATTGGCCAAAATTGACGCATGCGCCAGTTTTGATTGACAGACTGGATCGGTCTATTGAGTCCAGACCAGAGAATCCAGTGACTGACATCATGAACATCGATTCACGCAATTGGGATACGATGACATGTGTCAAACCAAGTCATCGAGTCTGACCATCTGATCCCGCTAGTCACCTCTTACGACAAGCATGGGTAACTGAAGATCAATTCTATCCCGGATCTTCACGGGTATTCTGTAAAAGGGTTTGAGGTGATGATGTTGCAATACACGTACCTCTCTCGCTGTCGAAGGTGATGGTGAACTTTACCCCCGCGCCCTCGTCAGCTTTTTGTACTGTCACCCCATCAGGGGAGAGGCTGGGCAGGGCGGACAGGGCGGTGTCCATCTGTGCAACACTGGTCGTCAAGCGGAGGGGTTCTGGATGAAATAGACATATTTATCAATGGGGATATTGAAGATGGCTGGTGAAGTCCTCATACGCTACATGGAGAATACTACACGAGGTCTCATTACATACGAATTATACGAAACGAGTGTTCTTCCTATGGTATCTGACCGAGCGAAAGCGAGGTCAGATAACATAGGAAGGTCACGAGTTTCGTATAATTCGTATGTAATGAGACCGAGTGTGGTATTTTATTTATTACCCACGTCTTACATGCATTAAATTGACAAAATAACGTATTTTTGTTAATATTTTTGTTTCAAACCGAAACCGGTTTCACAAAGAGGTTGCGGAAGAGTTTTGTACTGTAGTACAATATTTGCATGACGTCACTGTAATGACGTCACTGCCTTGGTAACCGACGTCACGATGCATGTCAGTTGTCATCGCCTCGTACAGCCTCCTACAGTAAACTACTCCGTAGCACCCCTTTTCTTGGTTTGCAGTTGCTTCATTCGGCTAACATCACTGGTGGAAACATTGCGTTTACGTTTTTCGACTCACAATTAAACAGCGACACTTCAACGTTCGCGATGTTTACATTCCCACAATGCATTTAAGTTGTAGAATGAATGGATTCACGTGTTTGTTATGAATGAAATAATAGTTACGTCAGAATGTGACCTAATTGAGAGGTCATCGGTTATCCAATCAAATCGTCAGAATCTCAGGTCAAGTCGTTACGACACAGGTCAACGCGATACGACACTCGTGTAACGTACGTTGACCACGTGGGTAATAAATAGAGAATACTACACGAGGTCTCATTACACACGAATTATACGAAACGAGTGTCCTTCCTATGGTATCTGACCGAGCGAAAGCGAGGTCAGATAACAAAGGAAGGTCACGAGTTTCGTATAATTCGTATGTAATGAGACCGAGTGTGGTATTTTATTTATTACCCACGTCTTACATGCATTTAAATTGACAAAATAGCGTATTTTTGTTATGTTTTTGGTTTCAAACCGAAACCGGTTTCATAAAGAGGTTGCGGAAGAGTTTTGTACTGTAGTACAATATTTGCATGACGTCACACTAATGACGTCACTGCCATGGTAACCGACGTCACGATGCATGTCAGTTGTAATCGCCTCGTACAGCCTCCTACAGTAAACTACTCCGTTGCACTTCGTTTCTTGGTTTCCAGTTGATTCATTCGGCTAACATCACTGGTGGAAACATTGCGTTTATGTTTTTCGACGGATATAATGTCTCAGTTCGACTCACAATTAAACAGCGACACGGCAACGTTCGCAATGTTTACATTCCCACAATGCATTTAAGTTGTAGAATGAATGAATTCACGTGTTTGTTATGAATGAAAAAATAGTTACGTCAGAATGTGACCTAATTGAGAGGTCATCGATTATCCAATCAAATCGTTAGAATTTCAGGTCAAGTCGTTACGACACAGGTCAACGCGATATGACACTCGTGTGACGTACGGGATTAATATGCAACTACCCATACGTTGACCACGTGGGTAATAAAAGTGGGTATCAACTGTTTGCTGCTCACATCTCGAGTAAAGATACATACTATATTCCTTTGAGGAGTTTGTTAACGTCGTTAATAGTCTTCTAAATTTCATCTTCCGCAGTAATTATGATAATTTGGAACGGTAGGGTAGCCTTGTGGTTAAAGCGTTCGCTCGTACCCTGAAGGCCCGGGTTCGACTCCCCACATGGGTACAATGTGTGAAGCCCATTTTGTAGTGTCTCCCGCCGTGATTGGTTGGAATATTAATAAAAGCGTCGAAAAACCATACCCACTCACCTACTTACTCACTCACTGAACATGTTCAGGATGAACATCGTATAGCCTGACTTCGTATATATCTTTGTCGTTCTATCCACATCAAACCAGATAACCACGACTTAACCTAAATAGAGTTCCGGGCGTCGTCTCAAGTCACTCACTAACTTCTGTATACTCACCTGTGTAGGTTCCAAAGAGACCGAGCCGAAAGTAGGTTTCTCTGTTGCCAACGACAGTAACAGTCTGCACCTCCTTCGTCAACGTCTGCGACGCCGGTACAGTGAGAACCACTCTCTGAAATGGTTATAGAGGCACAAGTGTTTGTTGCTCACACCTCGAGTAAAGACAGGTACAATGTTTCTTTGAGGATGTGTCAATGTCTTTAATAGTCGTCTAAATTTCATCTTCCAATGTTATGGGTACAAAGTGTTAAGCCCATTTCTGAAGTCCCCCGCCGTGATATTGCTGGAATACTACAAAAGCGTCGTAAAGCTAAACTCACTCACTAACTTATATGTTCCAAGTAAATACTTTAAGAAATACCACTTTTCCCCAATCCAATTTAAAATATTTCCGTCATGAGTTCGAATTTCTGATTTGATCTCAAAATGGCCCAGTGTCAGTCAACACCTGTCTTCTTGCAGCGTAAAAACTCATACATTCACTATTTTTTCCAGAACATGTATGTGATTTGATACCTGGAATGTTCCTGGCTGTGTGGTTTTTGGGTGTCTGTTGGCAAACTCATGGGCATCACCACAGTTGCGAACAATTAAGACCTGCTTTTAAAGCCAACTTAAACGGTTCTCTTGTCTTGGACCAAATAGACAATTTACTCTTAATAGACGCATGGAGAGAGTTATAAACCCTACAACAAAAAAGTATACATGGTGGAAAAAAAATCCTTGCCAACAAGCCAGATTAGATTTCTTCTTGGTAACTGAAGACCTCTTTAACATAAATAGTAATATATCCATCATACCTGGTTATAAAAGTGACCATTCTGCTGTAACGTTATCTTTATCAACACAAAAAAATAAGGAAAAGGGACGCGGCTATTGGAAGTTTAACACATTATTATTGAGACGAGAGGAATATATAACACTAGTAATTGACTTACTTAATGAAACAAAACGAGCATACACAGACCCTACATATTCAGATGAAGAATTAAACGAGATTAATGATGAACACTTACGTTTGACTATCAGTGACACTCTATTTTTAGAGACATTTTTAATTAAACTTAGAGGAAAATCCATCTCATACTCTTATCTTAAGAAAATCAGAACTGCAAAATATAAAGAACTAGAGGAGAATGTCATATAGAAGATGAAATAAGAAGTAACTTTCAAAACGTTAATGAAACACTTCTTGCTGATTTATCTAAAAGTAAAAATGAATTGGAAAAAATAAAAGAAGAAGAAATAAAAGGAATCCAAGTTAGAAATAGAATCCAGTGGTATGAAGAAGGGGATAAACCTACAAATTATTTTTGTCATTTAGAAAATAGAAACTATACAAACAAACTTATTAACTCCCTTATTATTGATAATGGTGAAGAAATAGCAGATGGACGAAAACTAATAGTGGAACAAAAGCGATTCTATCTAAACCTGTATAAATCAAATTGCGACATAGATGAAGACATTAAAGCTGTATTCGAACATATTGCTACTCCTTCTTTAAATAAAGAGCAGTCAAATGAACTAGAGCGCGATATTAATGTTGAAGAACTTTCGCATGCTGTTAAATCAATGAAAAATAACAAAAGTCCAGGTTTAGATGGCTTCCCTATCGAATTCTTCAATTTTTTCTGGAAAAATCTGAAAATTTGGATTAACCGATATCTAAAAGAAACTTTCAACCAGAATTCTATGACTACGACAATGAATAGAGGAGCAATTACATGTATCCCTAAGCCAGGTAAGGATAGAAGATACCTAAAGAATTGGCGACCTATCTCTCTCCTAAACGCATTGTATAAAGTTATAAGTACCTGTATAACAAACAGGATTAAAAAAAACTTTGAATTTTCTTATAAACGAAAATCAAACAGGATTCATTCCAGGAAGATGCATTACGGAAAACATTAGACTTCTTTATGACATTATGTTTGAAACTAAAAGGCAAAACATAAAAGGTTTACTAATCTTAATTGACTTTGAAAAAGCTTTCGACACCGTGTCAAAATTATTCATTAAGATGGTCCTAGACAAGTTTGGTTTTGGAAGTAACATTCAAAGATGGGTTAACATATTGATTTCTAATGCATCCTTGTGTATGATACAGAATGGTCACTTGTCCACGTTTTTCGATAATGAAAGGGGATGTAGACAGGGTGATCCCATATCTCCATATTTATTCTTATTGGTAGCAGAAATACTAGGAATAATGATCAGACACAACCACAGAATAAAAGGAATTGTTTTAAACGACATCGAACATAGTATTGGTCAATATGCAGATGACACTGAATTATTTTTGGACGGTTCCGAAACCTCTCTTAATGAAGGTATGCAAACTTTGCTTTCCTTTTACAAGATGTCAGGTTTGAAATCAAATATTGATAAAACAAAAGTAGTATGGCTAGGCTCAATGGCAGGTAGTAAAATAGTTCTATCCCAGGACTATAAGCTGGATTGGCATAATGAGAATTTCGAAGTATTGGGAATCAAATTAAATGCTCATTTAGAAAACCTATAGGTAATTAATAAAAAGGAGAGACTCGAAAATAAAAAAGAATTCTACTGAATTGGAAAAGACGCAATTTAACGTTGATAGGGAAAATAACCGTCGTTAAGAGTTTAGCTTTATCCATGATTGTCCACATCTTCTCTTCTCTCCCTAATCCCCCAAAAATATTTATTACTGATTTGAACAGATTATTCTTCAAATTTATATGGAATGATAATTTTTTTACAATAAAACGAATTAATTTAGTACGAAGGTACAAAGAAGGTGGTCTAAGAATGGTCGACGTGAAAACCTTTATCGACTCTTTAAAACATTCATGTTTGAAGAGATATATTTCAAAACCTAAGAACTATGCTCTCGCCGGTTTCCCTCTACAAAACCTTCTTTTTTTAGGAGCCAACATCACAAAACATTATAATATTAAAAATCCATTTTGGAAAGATTCTCTTGATACCTGGCATAGATATGTTAAAAGATCGGTATGTAACAATAACGACATTAATGAAATGCTCATGCAGCCACTATGGTTAAATCACCAGTGTAACCAGCCAAGTTTGATCATTCATAACTGGATTAAATGTGGAATAGTTTATATTATAGATATTTGTAACGACCACACATTTCTAACATTTGCAGAACTTAAGGCAAAATTTGGTATTAAAGGTACTGTATTTTACTTTAATCGTGTTCTCCTTAGTATACCCAAACAGTGGAAAGAAGTTATACGAACAAACAACAATTTTAATATACCGTCGTTATCTATGTGCTCTCCTTGGAACGATTTGATTAAACTTAGTTAAGGTTCAAGGATATTCTATGATAATTTTATATCTGACTATAACATTCCGAATGTGTGTCTCAAATGGAACGGGGAACTAAATGAGTTGATAAATTGGAAAACCATATTTTCACAATATAGACAATGCACTAAAGACACGAAACTCTTAGATTTTCAATATAAGTTTTTGCATAGAGTCATTTACACTAAACGAGAATTACTAAAAATGAAATTGATAGATAATTACCTATGTACATTATGTGGTTCAGTAAGTGAGGATATTTACCATGTATACCTTGATTGTCCAACCATCAAAATGTTCTGGTCAGAATTTAACATTTTTATTACTCAAGTCCTTGGTAAAACGTATGAAATGTCAAACCATGATATTCTATTTTGTAGCTGTAGTAACCACTTACTCAACCACATGATACTATTGGCAAAGCGCCACATAAAATGAATATAAAAGGACACAAACCTAGCTTCACCATCTACAGAACATTATTAAAAGATGTCTACGAGATAGAGAAATTTATCGAGAAGAAAACGATAATATGAATCATTTTTACAGAAAATGGAATGTCCTAGATGCAGTCCTGTAATTTATTTTTTAGTATTTTAATTCACTGTAATATTAGCTAGCATCTCAATTGTTAATCTCTATTCCCAGTACCATAAGTTATACATTGTCTGCTCTTTATTATGCAACCTGTACCATTCTACTCTACCCACATATCTTGTTCAAATGTCACAAAGTAAAGTGAATAAAAATACTTTACAAAAAAACAAAAACTTAAACGGGTCTGTATATAAGTATATATGTATATAAGTGTATATAAGTAATTATAATCAGTATACCATCAGAACATGGTGATCCTGTATACAGTGATACCTCGATACACCGCTACTAGATATTGCAGAATAATCAGTCAGAACAATTGATCGAACGAGTGTCTTAGTATTGAAAAATAATTCTTTTAGCTTACTGATTATATTTAAATTTAAACAAGAATGCCAGAAGAATCGGTATATCTTATTATTTGAATTTTATAAATCAAAACGATAGGCCAGGTAATTTCTAATTCCAAACTCCCCCCAACAATGAATATACTTGAACATTCTGTAATCCTACAACAATTAATATTCTGCCCTGAATGCTTTAAAATTGAATTACAAAATAATTAATTTTTCATTAAAATACATATAATTGACCATTCGTAAGTGATTTACAATAAGAAACACTAAAAATTGGAATGCCCGAGCATTTTGTAATCATAAACCAATAATTGCACTGCTTGTGGAGCTTGAGACTAAAATATTTGGCCTACCTGGGTATCCTTGACGACGGTAGAGGAGAACTTCAGCTCTTGTACGTCCTGCCAGGCTGCCCCTGTCTGAGATGCGGTGAAGGTCGTGTCGAATGCGCGCGCAGCTATTTGAAAGTACGCCTGTCCAGCTCCTTCGTTCATCAACACTTCAATGTAGTACCTGCATAGACAATCAATCTCACAATATTTTGATTGGTTGTTGTTTAACGCCGCACACAGCAATATTCCAGCTATATGGCGGTGTTCTGAAACTGATCGAGTTAGGACCAGACAATCCAGTGATCAACATCATTAGCATCGATCTACCCAACTGGGATACAATGATATGTGTCAACCAAGTCAGCGAGCCTGACCACCCGATCCCGTTGGCTGCTTTTTACGACAAGCATGGGTTGCTGAAGACCAATTCTAAACCAGATCTTCACGGGTCTCTTACGTTCTGGAGGACTGACCGTATATTTCACAGTTCCCATCTTCACCGGTGTCAGTCTCATAAACAAAAATCCCTGGTTACAGCGGGATATACCACTTGGTTGCAATGAACGTTACCCTTGTCGGTTTGATACCTTTCCCTGCATGATTCCCGTGTGGATTCCGGGTTTAAACACCACCAGGGTCTCATGTGGTAAGAGCCAATAAGGATCGGGTTGCCACAATGTGTGACCCAACCGTTTGTCACCATAACCTGATAGCGTAGACGAATGATCATGATGTCAATCCCTGGCTCGCTGCAGCTCTAACCACTTATAGGCTGTGATGGAATGGCTATATAGCAAACGGCGGTTCTAACAAGACTCAGAATGATCACTATTTAGACAACATACAGACAAAAGCAAACGTTGTATACGTTATTTTGTTATATATAATCGTGCTCGTTGTAAACGTATTCACATTTTACTGACGAAACCCTTCATTCCCTCACCTTGCCAGTCCATTATTGAGTGAGTGAGTGAATGAGTAACGTTTTACGCCTCTTTTAGCAATATTCTAACAATATCACTTAGGTTGACACCTAAGGCTTCACTAATTGCATCCAAGTCCATCAACTAACTCAAAGTTAGATTTGAACGTAAAATTGGGAAAAACACAGGATGTTTATCTCCATTCTACCATTATCGCGTTATTAAGATAATACATACTTTGTTGGAATATCAGAGTTATAAAACGTGAATGACTTTAAATTATAATTAACCAATCACAATCCAGTATTTACTGGTAGAATGTACATTATATGTCTGTTACCTTTCATCTTTGGTGAGAGTGACGACGTCCGACTCCTGGTTTGTCGGGTCATCTGTGTACTTTCTGTCAACGTTGGATTTGGCCATCAACACCTAAAATAATATACAACTGAATTCAGCTTCATGGGGAATTATTTGGGTGTACACAGTTTACGTACGGAGCAGGTGCTATTACAGTTATGGATATGCTCTTTCTCGATAACGTGATCACCGATTGTCGAAACCTTTCATTTTTCGATGGCCCTTGAGGGCGAGAGTGAAGAATGACCTGTGAAGACCCGGATTACAATTGATCTTCAGCAACCAATGCTGATCGTAAGAGGCGACTAACAGGATCGGCTGGTCAGGTCCGCTGACCTTGTTGGTTCATGTGATTGCCGACCCGTGAAGATCCGGGTTAGAATTGATCTTCAGTAACCCATGCTTGTCGTATCAGGCGACTAACGGGATCGGGTGGTCAGGCTCACTGACTTGGTTGACACATGTCATCGTATCCCAGCATTGCTGGAATATTGCTGAGTGCCGTGTAAAACTAAACTGACCGTAGTTCGACGCTAGATTGCCTGATCGAGACTTGATTGTTTAGAGACCGTCGCCATATTGCTGAAATGTTGCTGAATGCGGCGTTAAACAACAACTAAACAATGAACAATAGTATACAGTAACATAATAATACACAAAACATATGAGAATGATAAGAGGTTTAAGGCACAATGCCACGCCACACTTCTCTAAGAAATGATGAAGCATTTCTCTCAATAATACTAACTATCAACCTTCAGGGAAGCTACAATATAATTTATTCCCCCCAAAAAGTTCGAATGAATTAATGCAACTTTGCATTAAATCGACTCTCGCGCCCCCTACCGGCCGAACATTATTTCAAGTGAACTCCATACAGTTAAGTCCCTTGGAACGCTCTTTACGATTATCCTACGCACAACCAGTTCCTCAAACACAGAGAACACCGCGTGCGACAGTTTTCGATGTACGGAGCAATTATATAAATTCCATATACGGCAAGTGTTTTCTGTTTGGAAGATGTTCGTCTCGAAGTTTCAATTATCGATATCAGGCAAGTGGTAAGGGGCCATAAGTCTTTTATTGCATCAATCGGAAGCTAAAGTGAGTGCATATGCCCCAATATATATAATATTGGCCAAAATGTTGTCGAAAATGTGTGTCATTGTGCCTTTAAAATGAACATTGGTATGAAAAACTTGTGGAACTGAGCGTTACCTTGTTGGCAGGGTTGGCATCAGTGCTGAGGTAAAGCTCTGCGTTATCATCTGCCATGATGTAGAAACGATAGTCGGATGTACGAGGAGGAACGTAGTATCCTGAAGCCCTGGCGTTGAATCTGTCCATCGCATTCATGTCTTTGTAGTAGCCGCTGTCGATCGTCCCCGGGTAGTAGTCGGCGGCGGTCGTTGTCAACGTGCTGAAGTCGTTAAGGCCCGTCATACTGGCGTTCCATAGCTCGAATTTCAACCCTCGGCCACCTTAATAAATTATAATAACAACGTCTTGTATTTATTGCAAAGGGAGACGTTTCTGTGTATATATTTACATCGTGATCAAGCTAAAGGGTGCAAGAATCTACACCTTAACGTCGCTCCATTCAACAAAAACAAGACGTTCTAATAAGTCGTATGCTACATTATAGCCTCAACTACATCACAAATGAAGAGAAGAGAAAAGAGAGAGACAGAGAGAGAGGGGGTGGAGAGAGAAAGGGAGAGACAGATGGAGAGAGAGAGAGAGAGAGGGGTGGAGAGAGAAAGGGAGAGACAGATGGAGATAGAGAGAGAGGTGAGAGAGAGAGAGAGAGAGAGAGGTGTGGAGAGAGAGAGGAGAGAGAGAGGGAGAGACAGATGGAGATAGAGAGAGAGTGTGTGAGAGAGAGAGAGGGAGAGAGAGGGGGTGGAAAGACAGATGGAGAGAGAGAGAGAGAGAGAGAGAGAGAGAGAGAGAGAGAGAGAGAGAGAGAGAGAGAGAGAGAGAGAGATAGACCAACCTTCGTAATTCGCTGCCGCAGCAGGGGCAGCCACCGTCTCACAGACTATCTGCGTGTCTGTCACAGGCTCTGTCACTCGACACTCCGTATCTGGACCAAACACAAGGGGCAGCGTTTAAAGTCTGCATATATGAGACATGTTACAACACATGAGGCTAGCATGTTGCCTCCGCCACAGGTTATCCGCTACTGTCAATATTGCGTTATAATGTCGTGACGTCATCCAAACGTGACGTCATGCATATGAACACAACTGCAGGCGACTCAATGACCAAGACTGAGTGAATGAGTGAGTGAGTATGGTTCTACGCCGCTTTCAGCAATATTCCAGCAATATCACGGTTGGAGACACCAGAAATAGGCTTCACACTTGTACCCATGTGGGAAATCAAACCCGGGTCTTCGGCGTGACGAGCGAACGCTTTAACCACTAGGCTACCCCACCGCCCCCACTGACCAAGAAACGGTTGTAGTAGATAATCTTACCTCCAATCATGACCTTGACCTTTGCATCAGTCTCGTCAAAGTGTTTCCCAGTGATGGTTAGTTTGGTCCCTCCTTTCTCACTGCCTTCGCTGGGACTGACGCCATAGATAGCTGGAACAGGGAACGTCTCAATAGCAATAGGGACATATACTTGCTTTTTCACACACAGGTGTGGGACTATTCCGATTAAGCGGGCAATGGTGTGCTATATTTAGAAGTCGCGGTGGCTGAGTGGGCTGGCGATTAGGTGCCTGAATCTGAGGGTGTGGGTTCGAATCCTGGATGGAGCTCAACCCAACAAAAGTACTAGAATCTGTACTTTACTAAGAAAGTGTATTCCCAAATATAACATATGTTATATTTCAATTATTATTTGAAACGATACTGAATTATATGAATCTGTCAGAAATTAAAAATTATAAGAAATAATGAACGGGCTGATAACTCAAAACTGGTAATAGTCTTATAAAAAAAAATTGGAAGTTTTGAAAAGACCACGTGTAGTGTCTGGTAAACGGTACATACGGGCATATGTTTGGTACATGTAGATCTTCCCAGTACTGCTGGGTCGGAGAGTATCCAAGTCGGGCTTTGACCTGAAGAAAATCTTTTGAGGTTTTGAACAATAATAATTGAATCTTAAAAAAAAAAGTCTTTATAGGCGTTCACTGTTCACAATCGAATCTTTCACACACGGTCGTACAGCATGTTACTTCAGCGTATTGCGACAAAATGTCATGAGCTGGGCCCCGTTCCTCAAAGCGATCGTAGCGCTAAGGTGATCGTAACTCCCATACTCCCATACGATCACCTTAGCGCTACGACAGTCGTAAGTCTATGTTAAAGTATGGGAGTTACGATCACCTTAGCGCTACGACAGTCGTAAGTCTATGTTAAAGTATGGGAGTTACGATCACCTTAGCGCTACGACAGTCGTAAGTCTATGTTAAAGTATGGGAGTTACGATCACCTTAGCGCTACGACAGTCGTAAGTCCATGTTAAAGTATGGGAGTTACGATCACCTTAGCGCTACGATCGCTTTGTGAAACAGGGCCCTGGTGTTCAGGAACGTCCCTGGTGACTACTGGGAAATCCATATGACCATGTGAACTATAATTTGTATGCTTTTCTTTTCTTTTCAAGTTTGGTCAACCAAACTGTATACTTTCTTTTGGGCACTAGTTTAGTTTTAATAAGTGTAATAAAAGTTGTATTAACATGAATGGTTGAACATCAAACACAGCGTCATTTTGCGGTTGAAGTAGTGTCAAACCGTTGAACACGAGCACGTGGTTTGCTCGAATTTCGAGTTAATTTGTTGTCTGTTTTGACGATAGAATGTACCTACCTTCCAAACCATTCGTCGACGATGAAACTGGCATTCATGAAGCCTGGAACATGTGATACATCGTTAGAACTAAAACTAACATGAAATTTGATTCATCAGTTGTACAAACACGAAACGTAAATCATTGTTAGTATAAACATGAGCCATGTTTTAATGTATAGAGTGAGTGGGTGAGTGAGTATGGTTTTATGCAAAATTCCAGCAATATTCCAACAATATCACGACGGGAAACACTAGAAATGGGCTTCACAAATTGTATTTTACCCACGTGGGGAATCGAACTCGGGTCTTCAGCGTTACGAGCGAACGCTTTAACCTCTAGGCTACTCCACCGCCCCTTTAATGCATAGATGTACACAGGCATACAGAAACGCATGACCCTCCCCCAAGCTTGTTGTATATTTGGATGAGCCTCCATAAGTCTTTACACATTAAGTGGATTGTCTTGTCCGGACCCGACGTCAATATAGCTGAAATACTGCTGATCGCGGCGTTAAACAACAACCAAACAGAGCATTTAATATAAGATATGACTTTGGGAATAATTCTAGCTGAATAAGACGGTTGTATGCCTGCCTTACATCGGATGTAAATTAAGGCGCGCATATTCCGAGTGTTCAACTAATAGAAGTGAGTAAGTGAATTTACTTTTACTCCGCACTCTGTAATATTCCAGCTATATGGCGGCGGTCTGTATGTAATCGAGTCTGGACCAGACAAACTAGTGATCAACAGCATGAGCATTGATCTGCGCATTTGGGAACTGATGACATGTGTCAACCAAGTCAGTGAGCCTGACCACCCGAGCCCGTTAGTTGCCTCTTACGACAAGCATGGGTTACTGAAGATTTATTCTAACCCGGATCTTCACGGTTTGGAACTAATAGGAGGACTCCACAAACCAAAGGCGATAAGTGGTTGGAATTTGGATTCGCACCAACAAGAATTGGGCCGAATCCAAAGACGATCGAAAGCACAGTGAATCTCGATGCCCCTGATCCAAGTTATCCCGTAACCTTGAGTCATTATGCAAAAGGGGCGGTGGGGTAGCCTAGTGGTTAAAGCGTTGGCTCGTCACGCCGAAGACCCGGGTTCGAATCCCCACATGGGCACAATGTGTGAAGCCCATTTCTGGTGTCCCCCGCCGTGATGTTGCTGGAATATTGCTAAAAAGCGGCGTAAAACCAAACTCAGTCAGTCAGTCATTATGCAATAAAAAAATAAAAATTCTGCCATGACATTTCGAATCACATGTATCTGTCAGCTTTCAATTTAGAACGCTACACCTGGACTTGGCGGAACGGCGCCATTGTGTCTGCGAAGTGAAGCATGGACTGAACTGGTCTATGTCTGAACTGCATGACAGATGATGGGATGTGTTAATTTCCTACATATGATTGAGTAAACCATAAAACATGAGTTATATGGAGAAAAGAAAGGCAATAAAAAAGATCTTAGTGCGTTGTGTATGTCGTCATAGTGAACGCGGGACAAACGGTCGTTAAATCTGGCGTATTATTAATGCAGCGCTGTGCGCTGCAGAGAGTCCGTAATAGTCCATTTGTACCGGGGAGATATATAAAACAAGACAGAAAGATTGATTTGAATACTGACAAAAAACTCCGGTGCACGCTGTGATTACCGACACAGGAGGCTGATTCGCTCTACTTTCTAACAGCTCCGGTGTTCTTGAGATCGAACATGATAGGACTGACTACAGTAAACTACAGTTATTGCGTGAAGATCCGGGTTAAAATTGATCTTCAGTAACCCATGCTTGTCGTAAGAGGCGGCTAACGGGATCGGGTGATCAGGCTCGCTGGCTTGGTTGACACGTCATCGTATCCCAATTACGTAGATCGATGCTCATGATGCTGATCACTGGCTTTTTTCCCTCTTTATAAACTCTCTCTCTCTCTCTCTCTCTCTCTCTCTCTCACTCACTCTCTCTCTCTCAATGTTCATAGTTCAAAATACATCATCAACTCACCCACATATGTAGTTTTCGGCTTGCACTTCAGCGCCCCCCACCAGCTTTGCCCAGCGGAGTCAAGGTCAATCCCGAAGCTAAAACAAACACACAGGTTTCATTGGAAGATATCAATTGATGGCTTTGTCTTACGCTAAACATTAATGAGACCAACACTCTTGGGACGTCAATGATATATAAACACGCCCAGAGAGAGAATTATAGATCCAAGTTTCATAAGGAATAACATGTTTGGACAATCTAATGTCGTGACGCTGCGCATGACGATTCCATGTCCGGTTCTTGTAGCTTCATTGACAGCGTCCTTGACCTTAACATAATCACATGTACCCATTTACCTTATACGGACATACTATATCACGGTTAGGCATTTTCAGGTCAGATCTTCAAAACTGTCATGAATGAAATATCTATTAGCTTTTGCTTACAAGGTATCTTGTCTCTCGTCCTTCAGTGCACAGAGGTTATCTCCCATGTAGACTCTGCAACATCACGTGTAAGAGTAAGTCACTGTCAGGAGTGCTATACATCAGCTTTAATACACATCAATGTTTCATCTGCGATACATCAACGTTACAAGAGCAGTATAACAGCGAGTTTATCAGCAATACATTTACGATACATCTGTGATACATGGGGGATAAATCGGGAATATATCAACGATATATCAACACTGCATCAGGATGATGTCGGCAATTCATGTGCAATACATCAGCAGTACATCGTCAGTTTATCGACAATACATCCGCTTCAGCAATACATCGGCCATATTTCGACGATACTCCAGCAATACATTGTTGTTATATCGACGATACGTCAGCGATACATCACCGATATATCAACACTGCATCAGGATGATATCGGCAATTCATGTGCAATACATCAGCAGTACATCGTCAGTTTATCGACAATACATCCGCTTCAGCAATACATCAGCCATATATCGACGATACTCCAGCAATACATCGTTATATCGACGATACGTCAGCAATACATCAGCGATATATCAACACTGCATCAGGATGATGTCGGCAATTCATGTGCAATACACCAGCAATACATCGTCAGTTTATCGACAATACATCCCCTTCAGCAATACATCGTTGTTATATCGACGATACGTCAGCAATACATCAGCGATATATCAACACTGCATCAGGATGATATCGGCAATTCATGTGCAATACATCAGCAGTACATCGTCAGTTTATCGACAATACATATGCTTCAGCAATACATCGGCCATATTTCGACGATACTCCAGCAATACATCGTTGTTATATCGACGATACGTCAGCGATACATCACCGATATATCAACACTGAAACAGGATGATATCGGCAATTCATGTGCAATACATCAGCAATAATCGTCAGTTTATCGACGATACATATGCTTTAGCAATACATCGGCCATATATCGACGATACTCCAGCAATACATCGTTGTTTTATCGACGATACGTCGGTAATACATCAGCGATATATCAACACTGCATCAGGATGATATCGGCAGTTCATGTGCAATACATCAGCAGTACATCGTCAGTTTATCGACAATACATACGCTTGAGCAATAAATCAGCCATATTTCGACGATACTCCAGCAATACATCGTTTTATCGACGATACGTCAGCAATACATCAGCGATATATCAACACTGCATCAGGATGATATCGGCAATTCATGTGCAATACATCAGCAATACATCGTCAGTTCATCGACGATACATCCGCTTTAGCAATACATCAGCCATATATCGACGATACTCTAGCAATACATCGTTGTTATATCGACGATACGTCAGCAATACATCAGCGATATATCAACACTGCATCAGGATGATGTCGGCAATTCATGTGCAATACATCAGCAATACATCGTCAGTTTATCGACAATACATCCGCTTTAGCAATACATCGGCCATATATCGACGATACTCCAGCAATACATCGTTTTTATATCGACGATACGTCAGCAATACATCAGCGATATATCAACACTGCATCAGGATGATATCGGCAATTCATGTGCAATACACCAGCAATAATCGTCAGTTTATCGACGATACATCCGCTTCAGCAATACATCGTTGTTATATCGACGATACTCCAGCAATACATCGTTGTTATGTCGACGATACGTCAGCAATATATCAGCGATATATCAACACTGCATCAGGATGATATTGGCAATTCATGTGCAATACATCAGCAATACATCGTCAGTTTATCGACGATACATCCGCTTCAGCAATACATCGTTGTTATATCGACGATACGTCAGCAATACATCAGCGATATATCAACACTCTATTGGGATGATATAGGCGATTCATCTGTAATACATCAGCAATAAATCGTCGATATATCGACGATACATCAGCCACAAATCACAGATATATCTACCAATACATCAGCGATATATCGACGATGCATCATAATTATCTCAGCGATTAAACGACGATACATCAGCAATACCGAAGCGATATATCCATGACAAAACAGCGATATATCAACGACACATCTGAACAGCAATACGTCAGCAATATATCGATGATACAACAGCACTACATCATCGATATATCGACGATATATCGGCAATACATCAGCGATACATCTGCTATTCATAAGCGATACATCAGCGAAAGTATATACAAATGATTCAGTACATTCACACCATTGTATAAAGTCGTGGTGTTATGATGTATACTGACGTGCAAAAGAAAATACTCAACTGTCGGTATAGGATTTTGAAAAAACAAACGTTAAAATTTTGGCAAGTGTTTTGATAGTGCCAAAAGACAACATATTTCAACTGCAACGTTGCCACGATCCGCGCCCAACGTAGGCGACTCAGTCGATGTTCATGGTTTAATGACATGCCCCGAAATGGTCGAAAGGCCCGGATGCCGACAGCAGGCACATGTCTTTCTTCTTACTGTGTTTCTTTGACCAGATGTACTCTTTTTTTGTACGTCAGTATATTCGATATTAAAAGACCCAGACATACCCAAACTGAACCGACGTTTTCACGTACCTGACAAACCGGGCACTCTGACCATTAGTACTGACCACTTCATTGGTACCAAACAGACTCGTGATGATACGTCCACGGTACTTGACCAGCGTCCCTGCAACATGGTACCAACTGATTGGTTTCAAGTATAATTTGACTCTAGCTTTAGTATGGAATGAACTCAAACAACAGGAACAAATGTAGAGTTTGCATACAATATCTGCACAAAGTGAGTGAGCGAGTGAGTTTCATTTTACGCCGCTTTTAGCAATATTCCAGCAATATCACGGCAGGGACACCAGAAATGGGCTTCACACATTGTTCCCATGTGAGGAATCGAACCCGGGTGTCCGGCGTAACAATGGAACGCTTTAACCACTAGGTTACCCCACCGTTCCCTCTGCTCAAAGAGATCTTAGACGGAGTCGAAACTCCCATATCTACGCAAAAGCCTCAGACAATCGTAGGGTTTGTACAACGGCACCCAGTAATTATTGGATGCTAAAAATCATGACTTTGTTAGGCCTGTACTTACCAGGGATACCGGATGTGGGCTCCACATAATCTATGGTTGGTGTATAATGTGACTCGGGCTGTAACGATAATAACAGCATTAATAACTCTTCAACTACTGCTGCTGCTACTACTACTACCACTACTACCACTACTACCACTACCACTACTACTACTACTACTACTACTCCTACTACTACCACTACTACTACTACTACCACCACTACTACTGCTACTACAGCTACTATTACTACTACCTCTACTACCACTACTACTACTACCACCACTACTACTGCTACTACAGCTACTACTACTACTACTACTACCACTACTACTGCTACCACCACTACTACTACTACTACTACTACTACTACTACCACTACTACTACTACCACCACTACTACTGCTACTACAGCTACTACTACTACTACTACCTCTGCTACTACTACTACTACCACCACTACTACTACTACAACTATAGCTACTACTACTACTACTACCCCACTACCACTACTACTACTACACTACTACTACTACTACCACTACTACCACCACTACTACTGCTACTACAGCTACTACTACTACTACTACCTCTACTACCACTACTACTACTACCACCACTACTACTACTACCACTACTACTACTACCACCACTACTACTGCTACTACAGCTACTACTGCTACTACTACTACCTCTACTACCACTACTACTACTACTACCTCTACTACCACTACTACTACTACCACCACTACTACTCCTACTACTCCAACTACTACTACTACTATAGCTACTACTACCACCACCACTACTACTACTACTACTATAGCTACTACTACCACTACCACCACTACTACTACTACTATCACTACTCCAACTACTACTTCTACTACCACTACTACTACTGCTGCTACAATAGTTACGACTACTACTACTTCTACTACCACAACTACTACTACTTCTACTGCTACAACTACAACCACCACTACCTCTACTACTACTACTCCTCCTACTACTACCGACACTACTACTACTACTACTACCACCACTACTGCTACTACAGCTACTACTACTACTACTACCTCTACTACCACTACTATTACTACTATTACTACTACAACTGCTACATACAAAACAATATTACCATTACGGCTAATATTTACTACAGTACCAGTATTATCGTGAATACCATCCTCAACTATTTCCATGGCACTAACGGTAATAATATAACATCCACAATGAATGGCAATTACAGATCATCATTCAACCCCTGTGAAACGCAGATCGACAAGCGGAATAAATACTTACCTTGAAGGTGCACTTTTGACGATTCGCCTTACAATGGTCATCGTCCGGGATTCGAACCCCGTCCACATAGACCCGGACCGAGTACTCTTCTGTGGGCATTTTGCTGAAAACATAAGCAATGGAGTGAGTGAGTAATGTTCAACAAGCTTTTAGCAATATTCCAGCACCCGAAATGGGCCTCACACAAAGTCAGCTTCTATCACACGAATTCTGCATACATTTTATAACAAATAGTCTTTGTCCACACCAAGTGTCTGGTTGAAATCAACGAAATATAAATCGGAAAACAGCACTTGTAAACAAAACAAAGTTCAGAATTAACCCTGTGTATCATGTTCTCATATTGTGAGAGATCCGGACACAACTCGTCGATTACACATGCTCATTTGTTATAGAATATGCATGGGAATGAGTGAGTGAATTTAGTTTTACGCCGCGTTTAGCAATATTCCAGCAATATCAGAGAGGATACCAGAAATGGTCTTCACACATTGTACCCATGGGGGGAATGGAACCCGGGTCTTCGGCGACGAGCGAACGCTTTAACCACTAGGCTACCCCACCTCCCCCTTAAGCAATGGACATATATTGTTACACTTTTAGGATATATAGAGAATCTCACCCGAGTGTCTTTTGATATCAAATATATCACCACGAGTTCATAAAGTATTTTTTTCTTTTATTAACGAGTGTTGATATATTTGATATCAGAAGACATGAGGGTGAGATTTTATTTACCATCAAAAATCACTCTTTATTAGTTTCTAATGAAAAAATGTACATCTCTGAACACAGTACTGCCATTAGATTTGCAGTGCAGCGATGTCATAACATTGTGACGTCAACAAGTTCATGACGTCATAGCATTGTACCAAATCTACTGTCAAAACGATATCTCCTAGGAGATATCGTCTCACACAAGCGATATCTACTGTGGAACACAGTTTTGGATGATAAAACCTGATATCAACTTTTGTCGGGATCTATAACGGACATTAAATGCAGAACCAAAGTGGATGTTTGTGGTGATAGCGTGTGATCACGTACGTGTGAGCGCTTGTGTGCCTGTTTTGCACTTATGTGTATGTGACGAGTAGATTTCATTGCGTGTGCTTATATGCGTGTGTTTGTGTGCCTGTGTACGTGGGGCTTTGAACCTTGCTTTCTCAACAGCCTCCGTGCAGCGTGCCGTGACATTAATGGCACAAGATTCGGAGCGGCGGTAAACCCCCCTCACTCACTCATAAAGCTTCAATGACGTCTATACTTACGGGGTGTAGCACGTGATCTGTTTCTCATGGCAACCATCGGGGTGGATGGTACATTCGAAGTTCCGGGTGGAGGAAACAAGATACACTTTGTTTCCAAGATTGCTGTTCCCATCTCCGAAGTTGAACAGGTTCCGAGCGAAATCTGAAAAGAGTATCGATCATATCTTCTTTTGTTTAAACAATATTAATACACATTAACTTAAGATAACGCTCAATTTTATAAACGTTCCATTGCATTTATTGAATTTGTTTCAGTAGGAATCAGGTTGTAAAAACAAAGTAAATTTTCAGGAACCTTTCTTTGTTTTATTTCTCAACATTCAATCCTGCATATTTCCTGTCTACATTGTTTTCTAAATCGCAACGGGACCGCTTACGGTACGCGCCACGTTCGCGATCTATCGTTAAGAGTATACAAGCCTCCCCGCGTTCGCGGGAACTTGGTGTCAAAGACGCGAAGGGGTGGTGGTGTGTGGGGTGGGGGTATAGCTTGATTTGGATTTGTATCAAGATTACAGGGTCCTAATACTTGAGCACCTCTTGACACAGACGAAGAGTTGATTATCAGACATCTCACACATAAAGATTGAACGAATGATTTTAGTTTTACGCCGCTTTTAGCAATATTCCAGCAATATCACGGCAGGGGCACACCAGAAATGGGCTTCACACTTTGTACCCATGTGGGGAATCAAACCCGGATTCACGTAAGACGAGCAGACGCTTTTAACCACAAGGCTAACCCATTGGCCCTAAATAACGGTACTTGTAATTCACTCATGAAATGTACTTACTATGGCCCGTTATCGTGATCCGTGTACCTCCATTCGTACTCCCCTTCTGTGGCTCAATCTCAACGACACTCGACTCTGAAAAAAGAACAAATGAATGCATTGACAGGAAAAAGCGAAGCAAAACAACACTTTACAACAAAACTTGGAGTAAATATTATTAGTTGGCTCGGGGAGCACAGGTGTTCCATAGATATGCCAAACTTTTACTCATCCCCAAAATTTAGGAAAAAACATCCCAGATATGCGAACCAAGCTTACGAAATATATGCATGCATCCAAACTAGCAAAGTTTCCCATTGTCTCTTTTGTTTTCTGTGCTTTGAATCTGTGACTGACGTTGGGAAAGTACTGGAACACAGGAATGGGTTTGACAGGAACACAGTCCTTTAGGTAATGCCGAAAACTACAGCATTCTCCGAACAGTTCTTAGTGGGGTCGACTGGGCAACGCTTCTTGGGACAAGTCCCAGTCACTGTCTGGGCTGTGTGCAAAGGGGGCAAGGCTCCTGAGTAGAGGATGAACCTTACCAGCCTGACTGTGTTTGTTTCTTGTTTTGTTTAAAGCCGCATTTAACAATACTCCAGCTATATGACGGTATGTAAGTAATCGAGTCTGTACCAGACAATACAGTGATCAACATCATGAGCATCGATCTATGCAGCTGGGACATGGTCAACCATGTCAGTGACCCTGACCACCCGATCCCGTTAGTTGCCTCTTACGAGAAGCATGGGTTGGTGAAGACCAATTCTGACCCAGATCTTCACGGGTTCCTGACTGTGAGTGGACCACCGAACCATAATGTGTATATCATACTGCTGCTGCTGCTGCTGCTGATGATGATGGTGGTGGGGAAGACTGACAATAGTAATACAGACGATGATAAGGAAACGTCAATTGAATCATTTCTTTATGACACTTATTAATATCTTTGATTTATGCCATTGGTTTGCTTGGTTTGTCCTACGCAATGGTGATGACATGTGTCAACCAAGTCAGCGAACCTGACCACTTGATCCCGTTAGTCGCCTCTTACGACAAGCATGGGTTGCTGAAAGTCAATTTTAACCCGGACCTTCACGGTTAGTAAGCATCAGTAGTGAGTGAGTGAGTTTAGTTTTACGCCACACTTAGCAATATTCCAGCTATATGGCGACGGTCTGTAAATAATCGAGTCTGGACCAGACAATCCAGGGATCAACAACATGAACATCGATCCATACAGTTGGAAAACGATGACATGTGTCAACCAAGTCAGCGAGCCTGACCACCCGACTCCGTTAGTCGCCTCTGACGACAAGCACGGGTAGCTGAAGACCAATTCTAACCCGGCTATAATCAGTATGTACATGTAAATAATGATAAATTGAATGCTGAAGTAACGATTTCCTCCAAACCCGGATCTTCACGGCTGTCATTTATACCAATTGCTAGAGATGGGGTGATATTGATCTAGTGGCAAAAATATGTCAAAGGATTTTGAAAAGCGTTCTTTCTCACACTCTGATCATGTCATCGGATCTGTTAGTCAGGATAATTATCTCTCGAGAATACCGCAAAGAAGTGTTTAGAGGTTTACCTGGAACCACTGACATTGTCAAAAGTATTTTGTTACTGTTTGTTTCACTGATATACAAAACATAACACCATTTGTGATAGAGTTCAGTGTCCTTTGGGGTTAATAATCCTGTTACAATATCCTGTTACATTCTCAAGTGTTATTACATTCGTTTGTTTGCGTGCTAAAACCACTACGTCACCCTTGTAAGCACGGAGTGAAGAGGTTCTGGCAACCTGACACAGATAGACAGAAGGCACAGTAGTTCCTGAACCCCCTAACCCCCTCTGAAACCCTGTAAACCCCACCGCACTAATTGCTGACAATATTCCTAAAAGCCATTTGAATAACAACCCTCTTTAACAATACGTCCCGAGTATCTTCGTACTAATCTTTTTATTCCCCACGCATGATGAACCACACTCGACGAATCGACCCCCTACAATTTGTTAGCCATTGTTCAACGATAATATGACATGAAACATATTATCATCCACTCATTCGTGAACACCCCAGAGAATACATGGACACACGCGTCCTTGGGGCTTTGTTCGGAAGGTATTGTAGCGTTGTCTGCTCAAGATAGCGATCATCTTCGGAGCTAATTACATATTGTCATGGTGTTTATATTCTTCTGACGTGGTTCTGTGGAGCTGATTTGAGTCCCAGGACATGCCAAAACATATTAAACATTAACACCTAGTCATTCGTGCAAGAACACCTTTAGGGAAGACAAATTTGCAAATCCTGAGTGTTTACTGACTACTTGAGACTGGTTGAAAGGAAACAAACGGTATGTTTGTTAATAAGTAATGCCCGTTGTATTCAATAGTATTGACAAATAGGCTCACGCTGAAAACTGTAAACCAAATTGTTTGACATCGTGACAAAATCCATCCCCAGACTTCATTACAGTGTTCCAAGGTTATATAACTGATGGATAAAGCAGTGTGCTTTCTGAAAGGGAGATTTGTAGGGAACAAACATGTGAATTGGACACTGTGTATTCTCACACAGAGTGAGTGAGTGAGTGAGTGAGTGAGTGAGTGGGTTTATCGCCAGTGAAGGGTATTCCAGTTATACATGGCGTGTATGCTGAATGTGGGAGAAACTCCCGAAGTTAGCATGTTCTAAGATAAGTTTGGTGTAACCCCGGGTATGGAACTAAGAAACATTAACACATATTCAGGGCGAATCGGGATTTGTAATTTCGATCATAGATGTCTGGGGTGTCCAAGGGAGGTACCAGTTACACTCAAATGAGAGCGGATGATTTTACGCCGCTTTTAGCAATATGTAATCAGAATCCCCTCGTGGTAAAGTTGATCGTTTATATTTTAACGGGTTAGAGTAGGTGCTTACAATTACATTCACTCAGGAGTTACCTAAAGGCATCAAGACTTTACACTACTTAAATAGATGATCGTTGAATATTGACTTCACACCCGAACAACAAGCAGAGGCTATTCGTGCATATATAGTAAACAACGATTCAAACGTCTGACTGACTGAGTTTGGTTCTACGCCGCTTTTAGCAATATTCCAGCAACATCACGGCGGGGGACACCAGAAATGGGCTTCACACATTGTACCCATGTTGGGATTCGAACCCGGGTCTTCGGCGTGACGAGCCAACGCAAATCATGAAAATGGCTTTAACCACTAGGCTACGATTGAGTGCCCCACCGCCCCGGGTTTAACCGAACTCAAGGGGACCACTTACCTTATAATCGTAGTTATAACAGTTCTACTGAAATATACAGCTAGGTTTCTGGGACCCCAACATAGTTCGTTATATCAACGAGAGATCCTTAAAAAGCGAGTTTGTTATATACGTAGTTTATTGTATTTCAAATTCATAATTCATACAATATTTTAGAGGAGGTTGAACGGATTGAATAACAGATTGAACGTAAGTGGGTAGACTTTCAAGTGAGTGAGTGAGTGAGTTAAGATTTACACCGCACTCAGCAATATTCCAGCTTTATGCCGGCAGTCTGTAAATAATCGAGTCTGGACCAGACAATCCAGTGATCAACAGCATGAGCATCGATCTGCGCAGTTGGGAACCGATGACATGTGCCAACCAAGTCAGCGAGCCTGACATACCGATCCCGTTAGTCGCCTCTTACGACAAGCAAGATCAATATTCTAACCCGGACCTTCACGGATGAGACTTTCAAGTAAAGTGGCAGTGCCACAGTAGGTGGTTATTGAATAAACTGTTATTCAAATTATCACAAGATATATAGATGAGGTACACATGTCGAGTTTCCAATGTAAAACTAGGTTAACTGTCGACTAAACAGCACTAAATTAAGATTGGAGACTATATCGCAGCGTTTGCGTTTACATTACAAAAGACTAGCCATTTAAAGGGACAAGACCCTTTCCGTTATCACAAGAAAGTTCCGGTTAAAGCAGTGTCCATTGTTCGATTCCCACTTTGTCATTAAAAATGTGCTGGGACCACACAATCAGAGGTCCATTGAAAGGGATATGCTTCGTTCGTTCGTAACGATTTAGTCGAGCCACAACCGTCGGAGCAGACTAGAGTGAGATATATTGAACTGAGACCGGGTATGGATTCATCAGAATCATAGCGGGGTGGCTATTAGTACTCCACCGATGGTAGACCATGCGTGTCTAACGGTATTTTATCCGTGTATTTATGGGTTATTTATCTTGTCCAGTCTTGTCCAGTAACTGTTGCGTTCAATAAAAAAAACTTGAAAATTGGATTTGACTACAACATAACAAACGTTATCAAAACCTTTCTAAATGTTTTACTATCACTCATTTCTGACACAGTTTGTGAAAAGTAATTTTGCTTAAAAAGAAACAAAGGTTCAAAGATTAGCAATAAATTAGATATCACTTAATGCCATTCAAAGAGTCTATTAAATACGATTATATACTCATGCCAATAATGGTTGTCACCCCCTTTAATTTTTTTAATTGGAGAGGGGGTGTGGGGTGGGGTGTGAGGTGTGTGTGTGTGTGGGGGGGAACAACCATAATTGGCATGAGTATATTAAAAAAAGACCCGTATCAAAGTTTTTTAGGGCTTGTAATCTTTACTAGGCCTCAGCACAGACATTTTTTTTTTCGATGTAATAACGCGAAATTAAGACTTTTTCAGATTAAAATCAAACATATAATAAAATCAACTGTGAGGAATTTTTCCATTTGCTCGTTTCAAATGTCTGTCGTCAATACATCACCTATGGTTAAAGCGTTCGCTCGTCACGCCGAAAACCCGGGTTCGATTCCCCACGTGGGTACACAGTGTGAAGCCCATTTCTTGTGTCACCCGCAGTGACATTGCTGGAATATTGCTAAGAGCGGCGTAAAACTAAACTCAGTCAGTCAGTCAGTCTTTTGCCTGCCGGTCAATGTAACGATTTGTTGATTGGTGAGTGAGTGAGTTTAGTTTTACGCTGCACTCAGTGATATTCCAGCTAGATGGTAACGGTCTGTAAATAATCGAGTCTTGACCAGACAATCCAGTGATCAA